ATATATTGCAACACAGCTGAGTATTGTTTCCTTCATGAGATCCTTGATTTTTGGTCATATGGGATTAAGTGCATGAGAAGAGCCACTCAGGGCCTCCTATGCCTCCTAAGAGACTCTATCTGAATATATGTGTATGAAAGAAAAGAGGTACTTAGCCTCAATTCACTCCAAATATTTAAAGTACTGTTATACGTTTCCGAGCACAATTCAAAGTGTTGGTGCTGACCTTTAAAGCCCTAAATGGCCTCGGTCCAGTATACCTGAAGGAGCGTCTCCACCCCCATCGTTCTGCCCGGACACTGAGGTCCAGCTCCAAGGGCCTTCTGGCGGTTCCCTCATTGCGAGAAGCAAAGCTACAGGGAACCAGGCAGAGGGCCTTCTCGGTAGTGGCGCCCGCCCTGTGGAACGCCCTCCCATCAGATGTCAAAGCGATATAAACAACTACCTGACATTCAGAAGACATCTGAAGGCAGCCCTGTTCAGGGAAGTTTTTAACGTGTGATATTTTACTGTATTTTTGGTTTCTATGGAAGCCGCCCAGAGTGGCTGGGGAGGCCCAGCCAGATGGGCAGGGTATAAATAATAAATTATTATTATTATTATTATTATTATTATTAGTTTTGGGGGGTAGAGTCTGTGGGTGCAGGTCACCCATAAATCCAAGAATGAGTAAAAGTTAGAATTCATCAAGGTTTGATTAATTTGGGGGCCAGAGTCTGCGGCTGCAAGTCACCCATAAATCCCGGAATGAGTAAAATTTAGAATTAATCAAGGTTTGATTACACTGAGCCAAACATGGAAACCCCTGGGTTTAGTTTATGTTAATGAGCCAGGCCAGTTTGGCAGAGCTAGCTGGATGGGAGTCATTGGAAGAACAAAGGCCAATGGTGGCCTGTTGTTAATCTATCAAGGAAGCCATCAAGAAGGCAGAGAGGTACCAGACGAAGAGCGAGGAGCCTTTCCTCCAGTTGTGTGTTGGTGGGCAGGGACCAAATGAGGTTAGGATTTCAGGGTGGATGAAGTAAGTTGGGGGGGCGGGTTGGTTTGGCAAGTGGGAGGAAGTGAGGTCAGAGCACCACATGGTTTGGCGGGGGAAAGGGACACTGACAACGTGGCTGATTTCTCTGTTTGAAGACCCAAGCCTGTTGCGCCTACTGGAGAAGCAAAGGGCCCTCTTGGGGTACAATGTTGTGCACCCTTCCATCCTAGGCTCAGGTTGTATGTATGTGTAAAATACACCATATATCTGAAGACACCACAGACTCCGCTGTGCCTCGTTTTTCCAAAGGGAAATACAGACCCTGGTAAGCATGCCTGCAACTCATAGAATCTCACACCGCTCAGAGATTGGGGTGGCACGTCACAGTGCTATGATACTATCTTAAGCAGTCATGATTCCAGCAAAGAATTCTGGGAGCTGCAGTTTCTTCAGGGTGCTGAGAGTTGTTAGGAGAACCCTATTCCCAGAGTGGTTTAACAATCAATCCCTCTTTGCAGGGATCTCTGGAAATTGTAGCTCTGGGAGGGGAATAGGGGCCTCCTAACAACTTTCAACAACCCTTAACAAAACTACAGTTCCCATTGTCCTGCAACCAGGAATGGCGCAGTGATGTGGGAGTCAGCTTTCTCAGTGGTGGTTCACTTAATGTGGTTCACACACATGAGTTTTCATAAGTTGGTTACTCAGTTGATAACAGAAAGCTGAATGTATGAACAGACTCTGTTAACAAGGCTTCTATGTGACGTCACAAAGAAGTTCCAGCTGTGGTGTTTGACCCTGGGTGGCTTGTAGATCCATGTAGTAGTAGTAGCAGCAGTAATAATAATAATAATAATTTATTATTATACCCCACCCATCTGCCTGGGTTTCCCCAACCACTCTGGGTGGCTCCCAACAGAATATTAAAAGCACAATAAAACATCAGGCATTAAAAACTTCCCCTAAACAAGTTCACCACTTGCTATTGCAGTCTTCATGAGTGAGCTAACTGCAGTTGTAAATATATTCAGGAGCGGGGTGGAGGGGAGCCCATTACAAGACTGGCCCTACCGCCAGGTAGATGAGGCACCTGCCTAACGCTTTGGGAATGATGGGTTGTATCCTACACTGCACAAGAGGAGCTCCACTCATGCAGTGGGACTTCCTTTTCCTCTTCTCTCCTCCACAGGCCCCCAATCTGCTCCATTGTGTCCCTCCACTCTGTGGAGCCAATTTTGATGATGCAATTGGGCTGCAGGGAAAGGAGAGGAAGCTGTTGTGTGAATGGATCGGCAATGATGGATATAAACCTCTGTATATTGACATGCAGAGGGGCCATTTGTTGCTCAACCTCAGGCAGCAAAATTATAGGCCAGGTCTGCCTTTGATGAGAAGTTCATCAGCCTGTTAATGAGCAAGCTGTGCTTCATTAAATCCAGCCTCTCACCGAGCAGTTGCAAGTTTTCGTTATCCACCCATACGTATGTGGTTGCACATATCCACACACACTTTGAGGGACCATGCATCCTCCTTTACAGAGGACAGTCCTCTATTTGATGACTGCATCTGTCATGGATGCTTTAGCAGGGGGGGTTGGACTAAATGACCATTGGTATCCTTTCCAACTCTACAATTCTACGATTCTACTTAAAAGTAGAGAGCTATGGAAAGTGTGAATCTCAGGGACCTTGAAATTGCCCATCACAAGTAGCTCAGTTGACTGAACAGCTACAAAGACCAGCAACCTTCCATAGTATAGCAAGAGATATTTTATGATAGAAATAATAGTTAGCAATTATTTCTAAGTGTGCATTTTAGACATGGAAATTGCACATGCAAATGTTATGCAAATCGATATCACTTTTGGTCCTCTTTTATTTGGTGATGTGTGTGAGAGGAAGGGTGTGTTTAAACAAATGCTAGTCCTAGAGAACATTTCAGCCTGAACTATTTTGCTCTGTCTCATTACCCGTGTTTGGAAAAGGCTAAGACTTTGATAAACATCAGTGGTGTGTCTGAGGCGGATGGGTTTGTGGCACTGCTCTCCATTCATTGGTCCACTGCACATGAAAGCTTACTGATGACACAAATAGGAGGCACTATCTCTCCTCTGTGCTGGCAAATGCGATCAACTATAGATCTTTTTCTCTCCTCTCTGCTACCGCCTTGGCCAGATTGCAGATTTCTCTATGTGATATATATGGTTTTCTGCTTCTTTTAAACATCACTTCTAGCTGGGAAGGAAGTAACATGGCATGGGCTTTGTGGCATTTCAGGGACAACGCACCTTTTTCGCCTTTAGGATTTGTAAAGAAAACAGTGATAATGATTGAATAGGAGTGAGTCTTCCCTTAGGACTCTCCTTGCTCTGATTCCATACGTGTATCAAAATAATAATAATAATTCCACACTAATGTAATAGAAGGGAATTACCATTGTTATGGAGGAAAATCTTGCTTGTGCTCTTCAAAAAAAGGTACCAAAACCTATTTATTTATTCTATTTTTCATATTTGAAAAAGGCCACCAAACCACATTATAAAGACAGTCTCCTCCCTCACAAAAAGAAAATGATTGCACAGGAGGAGGGTGGAAAAGTAAACTCTTAGTTACAGTGACTTTGTACTTTTGATTTTTACTATCTGTAGTTCTAAGAGGCCTTCTTTATATTATCCCAGGTTTGTATCCAACTAAATCACACCCTGAGTTAGGTGCATTGAAATCAATAGGCATGGCTAACTTACCGGTAAGTCGACTGAAGGTTTGGGGAACTGTCCGGGGTATTTTAAGGAAAGGGCTTTTAACAGTGCTGTGCTATTTTTACTATCTGTATTTTAATAATTTGTTGTCATATTGTTTTAATTCTATTATAGTTCAATTAAGTTTTATCCTTAACATGTTAGATTTCTGTATTTCATGTGTGTTGTTTTAATTTGTATAAGTCACTTTGTGTGGGAAAAGGTGGGAGAAGAAGAAAAAGAAGAAGAAGGAGGAGGAGGAGGAGGAGGAGGAGAGGAGGAGGAGGAGGAGTGCAAGACGCAACCCCGTGCCAGTTTTGTGTAAGCTGCTTGGAGCTTTTTGCTGATTCCCAGTGACAGTCATGTGAGACCTTGACATCTTGGATGCTGATAACCTTAGAAGGAAAAACCATTCCATCAGCATAATGAGATGTTAAGGAACACACACAAAAAGACAACAGCTATGATGCCAAAATGTGGAATCATTTTTAGTATTTTATATTTAGTATTTGTTGTTTCACATTGTATCTTCCTTGTTTTGTATTGCAATCTGCTCTTAAGCATTGTTTTAATAGAAAAAAGAGCTATAAATATTAAGTATAATATAAGAATGACATTATTGAACTACTTCAGAAAGCAAGTACTGGAATGTGTCAGGGTGCATAAACCCTGCTGAAGGTGCATAAACCCTGCAGAAAACTGCTGAAGGCGCAAGGGCTCCAGTTACACTTCCTCCTGAACATATTTGGTAATCAATTATGCTTTTCGTGTTGCAGTGTGAGCCCTTTGGAATCAACTGACATCTAAAATTCCGCAGGCACCTAGCATAATGGTGTCTAGGCACCTGGTGTTTACCTTTTTTGTTTAAAAAGGCTTTGCCTGAGGTGTGATCTAGTTGTTTCTTCCTATAGCCATAAAAATGTAAGGCCGTCATCGAACATAGTCCCCCCCCATTGGAGGATTTGTAGCGTCGCATCACAAATCCTGCATTTGCAAGAAGTCAGGGTGAGGAAGAGGAACATAAAAAAGAAGGCAGGTTTTAAAATGGCAGTTTTAAACAGCATCAGAGGTTTGAAAAAGGGGTGAGGAAAAGGGATTTTAAACAATGGCAGAGGTGTGGGTAGGAGGTGGCATGGGGTTGTGTGTGTGTGTGTGTGTGTGTGTGTGTGTGTTTGTGTGTGACAGTTTAAAACAAAGTTTCAGTACAGCAAGAAGGGAGCTTGGAAAATCCCTGCTGAGTTAGCTTCAAATATTCCATATTACCTAAATCAATAGGATAGAAAGGGCTCAGAAGTCAAACCACTAGCCAAAGTATTTGACTTTCCTACAAAAGGCACGGCTGGTGTAACTCTGGTGTGCTGTTGTTTTTAATGTTCAGAGAATTATGCATGCACCCTCTGTAGCAAATGAAAGGGAAGTGCTTATCTCTTTCAACAAAGTCACTTTCTAGCTGTTGCTGTGCCTTTGCAAGAGATGGAAGAAGTACGGTATCTGATGGATGGATATCTACGGACAGAGGTGAACACTGTTTCTGTCAGACAGTTCAGCCAAGGTCAGCTGGGACTTATTAGGTGGGGTTGCCATGGGCTGCTACATTAGCTGTGGAAAGGGGCTGCATACAGTGATCTTAACCTATTCAATCTCTGCGCCGCACAGTCTGCATAATACAGTGGACCAAAACCTAGTGATAACACAGAAGGGGAAGCAGAGAGCAGTACAGCAAACTTTTATTACTTTCAGCTGATAGCTACTGCAAACTTGCAGAGCAGAAGAGAGAGATTTCAGAGATACAAATTCAATTCCAAAATAGGAGAAAACACTAAAAATGGAAATTTGGAAACAGTAAAAAGCATAGTTTCCAAATGTAGGAATGGGTTTGTAAACATTTTATTTGTTCTTGGCAGCTGCGCTTAATTGGAATGATTCTTAATAATTTCCACACAAGACTAGTGAGTTGTTGTGATCATTCTTTTTTTTTTTTAATGTTTTGCATGTGCTGTTATTGCTTTAAAATGTTTTTCATATTAATAATGGGTGTTTAGCTTGTTAAAATATACACAATGGTTTTAATTTTGTGTGTGTGTGTGTGTGTGTGTGTGTGTGTGTGTGTATAGCTGTTTTATAAATGCTGTGATATTGTAAATCACTTTGAGATGCCTCATGGGAAGGAATTACTAAATGAAATAAATTGTCATTATTATTACTATCATCTGGAAGATGAGAGGTCTATTGGTGGATCAGTTTAGTCCTTGTAGAGCTCTCTTGTTTGGGAGCTATCAGGGTGGTGCAAAGAATAAACTGGCCATAGATTCAAGGTTTTCAGTATTGCGTGACATTCTTTTATTTCTGCATTAAGTATCAATGTACCATACTGGTTGTATCAGGTCCCTGATATATTAATAAAATCAGAAACAGAGGAAGAAAACTTAAGAACAGAAATGGGAGAACAGCTAAGGAGCAAGTGGTCAAATGTTTAGGTATTTGTAAACACCCACCCTGCTTTAAAAATAATAATATAGTTCCAGCAATATTTCCATCTGTCTGCTCTGACCTCAGGAGGAAGTACAGTCAACAGGAACTCAAATGGCCATTGTGCCCTTTGAATGACCTTTTAAAATGGCATCTCCATTCCCTGAAGGCTTGGCCAACTTGTGCAGCTCTGGTCGAGGAGTGGATGGGTAGCCAGGCATGAATAAGGCTTGCCAAACTGGTGAACTGTGTAAAAGCTTATGAGACATTTTGCCTCCTTCTTGACTGCACTGAGCTAGAGTACTCTTGTCTGACACGCTGCCTCGAGGATTGCTTCACACATGGGGAATATACAGTGGTGCCCCGCAAGACGAATGCCTCGCAAGACGGAAAAACCGCTAGACGAAAGGGTTTTCCGTTTTGAAGTTGCTTCGCAGGACGAATTCCCCTATGGGCTTGCTTCGCAAGACGAAAATACCTTGCGAGTCTTGAGATTTTTTTCGCTTTTCCCCCTTTATCTAATCTGCTAAGCCTTTAATAGCCTTTAATAGCCTTTTAGCAGCTAATCCCCTAAGCCTTTAAGCCTTTAATAGCCGCTAAACCGCTAATAGCGCTAATAGCGCTAATCCGTCAATGGGCTTGCTTCGCAAGACGAAAAAACCGCTAGACGAAGACTCTCGCGGAACGGATTAATTTCGTCTTGCGAGGCACCACTGTATGTGTGGTGGCTCAGAGCCTCAGAAACAAGTTTGCTTTGGCTAACACAGCAGCCCTGGGATGGCAGAGTGCAAAAAAAGGATGGATGCCTCTCCCACAGTCTATAAAAAATAAACACCAGTTGCTTCTCTTAGACCAGCAATGGAACCTGACCAAAGGTCACAGCATTAGCAAAGGTAATAGGCAAAGGCAACCGATCTCTCATTGGCATTATCCACTTCTTTTGCACACGCACACAGAGGCAGCTACAGGGCCAAACCAAGGCTCCATCTGCACAATGCCTTTAAAATGTTATCCTACTGTCTTATAGAGTCATGACTTCCCACCAAGAATCCTGGGAACTTTAGTTTGTTAAGGTGGTAGCTCATAATCGGTGCTGTGCGGCTCCAGTAGATGCTATTGATAGTATAAGTTCTGAAAAATCTTTTATTGATATTTCCTTTTGCCCTCCAAACACAATAGCAGAAGGCAAAGGCGACAATAAAGTTGATAATACAGTGGAACCTTGTGTTATGTACCGTCCTCCTTGCGAACGCTACGGGTTACAAGCTCCGCTAACCTGGAAGTAGATGCCCCTTGTTACGAACTTTGCCCCAGGATGCGAGCAGAAATCACGTGCCAGCAGTGCGGCAGCAGCAGGAGGCGCCATTAGCAAAAGCGTGCCTCATGTTATGAGCGGTTTTGGCTTAAAAACGGACCTCTGGAATGAATTAAGTTTGTAACCGGAGGTACCACTGTACATGCTAATGCTGATGGTGTTGTCAAAACCTGGACATGCCCAGATTAGAGTGTGGCGTTGACATGCGTACCTGTTTGCTGAACCAGATGCCTGTTCCCTAATAGTTCTTCCCTGGTACAGATTGTAATCTGAGCCAGAGGAGAATTCCTCCCTAACTAATACTAACCTGCCTGCTGTTGCAGAGGGTGCCTCTGCATAGAGGGTGGGAAGTTTCTCTCCTCCTCCTCCTCCTCCTCGCTTCCCCTCGTATAGCAGTGTTTCAGGAACCAGGAACTTTATTAACCAGGAAGTTAATAAACCACTATGCCATGCAATGTTCTATCTACAGCATAGGCCAATTTCCACCCTATGCATTTGTTTCAAAAATGCCTTCCAGTAATCCTATCAGCCACATGCGTCTGCTTTCCACATTCCTTTATTAGTGAACTATATGTGCCTTGCAATAATGCAGTCCCCAAGCCGAGCATGGCAAGGCACCGTATCTATTAGATTTCTTGTTCTTTTTCCATCCCTAAGGTGCAGAACCAAGTACCAATTTAGTCATCAAGCACTGAGTCATCTAGTAAATAATTCAACTCCCCATCTTCAGACACCGAAGTCAGTTGTCTAAACAAGCCAGTCTTTTTATGTCAAATGTGCAAACGTTGTCTAGGCAAGAGAGAGTGAGAGTACAAGGCGGCGGCAGGAGAATGGGAGAAGCAAGGTAGCCAGGAGAATACTAGGGAAAGGTCTCTCACATTTTTAAAAAAATGTGCCTTTGTTTTGGAATCTAGGGCGATCTGAGAAGCTAAACAGTGATCATCAACTTGATTGGAGTAGGGAAATCAGAGAAGAGCATCTGAAGTTGCTTTTCACCTCTCCTCTAGCAATGAAAAACTCCTGGTTTTTGGACTTATATGCCTAGTGGCATGCTACAGAATCTGAGCAGGATTTACAGGAATGATACTTTTCCCGAATGGAAGAAAGGTCAAGTAGGAATAATTGGGACAATAGGGAGTTATTAGCAACCACCCATGCATATTCTCCTATTGGTGTTTTAAGAACAATGAAACAAGGTAAAATCTCCACAACCTCGTCCTATATTATTTCGAGAACTGTATTGCTATTTACCGTATTTTTCGTCCCATAGGATGCTCCGTCCCATAGGACGCACCTAGTTTTTTGGGGGGGAAATAAAGGAAATTTTTTCCCCCTTTATTTCCCCCCCAAAACCAGGTCGGGGAAACCGAACCAGGTTGAGGAACAGCGGGATGGCGGCACTGCGCCTCCCTGCTGTCCCCCGAGCTTGTGGGGCTGGCCGATGTCTGCCCGGCGCACAGGGCGCTCTGCTTCAGGGCGCCCCTCGTGCCGGGCGGCAGGCTGCTATCCGCAGCCTAGACAGCCCTGCGGGAACTCCCGCAGGGTTGCCTAGGCTGCAGATGTGTTCCCTAAGCGCCGGGCGCTCTGCTTTCAGCACGCCCGGTGCTGCGGGAAGCAGGCTGCTATCCGCAGCCTAGACAGCCCTGCGGGACCTCCCGCAGGGTTGCCTGGGCTGCGGATGTCTTCCTGAAGCCTGGAGAGCAAGAGGGGTCAGTGCGCACCGACCCCTCTCGCTCTCCAAGCTTCAGCGAAAGCCTGCATTCGCCCCATAGGACGCACCCAGATTTCCCCTTCATTTTTGGAGGGGAAAAAGTGCGTCCTATAGGGCGAAAAATACGGTACATAGTGGCCCTAGCCTATATTCATTTGGTGGCTTTGGCTCCTATTATGCATAGTTCACTGTATTCTTTGTAGTTAGTTGAATTCTCCTACTACTTCCCACATGTTTACATTGATCAGGGGTGGCCCAATACGTTTTGCTCCAGCCCCTTCTACGCTTGCTGGCCATTGCACCCTTCTCCTCTGCCACCACCCGCCACACCCACCTGTTGCTTGGTTCAGAGGAGATGGCTGAAGCAGCAGGCGGGCACTGAGGAGGCAGATTCCATGGCAAAGGGGGCAGGTGGGCACGGAGGAAGAGGCAGCGAGTGGCGGCAGAGGAGACAACTGAGGGAAAAGGCAAAAGAAGGCAGAGCTGCTGCCTCTCCCAGTTTGGCTCATAGATATCAAACCTGGGTAGACCTACTAAATAGGCAGCTGACAAGTATTTTTAATTGTATTATTTTGTCACTTTGGTGTTTGCTGCCCTGGAAAGAGCAGGCTAGAAATTTAAAAATGAATAAATTCAACTTAGGAGTTACACTAGCCCTGACTTGTAACTGCAATGTAACTCCCTGCTCTCCTTGTTTGCCTCCTGTGTGGCCCCTAAATCTGCTCTGGAGACTTGAAGGAATCTGTGAAGCAGATTTAGGGGGAAGGTGGGGAGGGGAGAGGTCAGGGAAGTTACATAGTGCAGATAAAGGTTTGTTTGTTTATTTTTTGCCAGCATAACTCTTTAGTTGAGAACTGTCCCAACTGCAGCCTGGAATGCTGTTTTAAAGGAAATGGACAAAATATACAGGTTGGAAATTGGCATCTCTAAACAGGCCTTTATGAGTTTAACTGTGAAGGGTATCTTTAAATTTCAATCATTTCAGTGACACTTAAGACATTCAGCTTTTGGCAGATGGTATTAATATCCCCCCCCCCAAAAAAAACCCCACATCAACTTTGGTGTGCATCCATCTTTGAAAAAGACAAAGGAAAGGTTTGAATTTTCAGAACTTTTCTCATTCAGAAGTTACTTTTGGCATCTTTCCTGGCTCTGTTATATACTGGAAAGACCTCATAAGGACAATGGGTCTCGCTTCCATCTGCAGAACAAGCATCACCAAAACCCCATGGACAGATTAATGATTCAAAAACCTGGGCTACAATTGGTCAAATGTGAGCAAATACTTTCCAACGTTGGTTTTCAATGGAAGTGCTTAATAAAAATCAGAAGCAATGTATCACTGTTCCGGGAGGCGATGTCTGTAAAAGGTTTGACTAATATTACCACCTGCTGGGCAGTCTGTAACAGTGCAATACGCAGTACTTTCCAGAGGGGAAGCTGTGTTAATCTGAAAGACAAAGAGACCTGTGGTACCTTAAAGACTAACCATAAGTTGGCCCACACCAACAGATCTGGGAAACATCCTCCTCGTGATTATATTGACACACATGCAACATATGTAGAAAGAAACAAAAAAGTTTGTACGTAGTGTGGCCCAAAGTTAATGAAATCTAAAGGTCAGCAGGAGGTGTGTGACACTTCTTCATCAAACTAAAATCCATGCAAGATAGAAAGACAGGAATCCATCCACGTGGCTTTCTATACACATGTAATTATATAGATATCTGTAACTCCAGGTTGATTTATGTATTTTTTTTAATTATTATTTAACAGAATTTATAGACCACTGTACTGTAAATGGAACCTCTGAGCTGTTCACACAGCAAGTTAAAACGGTCAATAAAAGAAAAAAACAATGTTAAGAAGAAGTATTTCAAAAGTTCAAATCAAATTAAAACCAATAATTAAGTCAGAAACAGATTAGAACACATGTCAGTTTGGATAGACTTGCGTGAACAAAGGGTATATTATTTACAATATTGCCATTAGTGCAGGAGTATCTAAGATCCCATCATCCCTGACCATTGGCCATGCTGGCTGGGCCTGATGGGAACTGGGGTCCAACAACATCCAGAGGCCCCCAGAGATCTTCTGATGGTCATACGATTTTGCATCATGGTCTACAAGACTCCATTGGAAGCTGTGCTGTGCCTGATGCATGGCTGGCCCAAGGAGCAGATAGATTTGTGTCCTGCTTCCTGTTGTTGCCATGCCCGTCTCCTGCCATTTTCAACAATATCTCAAGGTGGTTGGATTCCCCTATATACTGTTGCCATACTCATGCCTTTCCACCCCAGTTTCCTAGGCTCTGTGGATTTTCCGAAATGTTCTGTGTGCATTTGGAGGCCAGGAGGTGGAGCCATAATGCAGCTTTTTAGGTAGTGATTATCTGCGGGTGACTGGGGAATTTGCACACTGCTGTGGATGCAGGGGACATGGGCCTCCAGGGCTGGTGTGGAGGATGAGATTGAGATTGCATATGGATCCATTTCAAGGTGCTTCTAGCAGCCAGTTTAGAAAAGAAAAAAACCTTACATTAGTCTTACAGAGTTTTAAAGAAAAAATAAAAATAAAAAAATTCTCCGCCCAATACAAAAACATACAAGACGAAAACTAATAAATAGCATTATATCATATAATTACTAACAGCAGGTGGTGTCTTTAACATATTTCCCCTCTTTACAGGCACATAAGCATATATGCTTATGGGGATTTTCTTTATATGTCATCATTAAACCACACTTTAATCATTATTCTGTACTTTAATCTATTTTCCATAACGTGAGGAATGGCTTTCATAAAGATGGCTGCATATGTCCCTGATATGTATATGAGATAAAAACATGCTGCACGAAATAAAAATCAAATATTTCATCTTTCCCATAGGTAATTTAAGTTGGTAAGTCAATTTCTCTGCAATGGATATATGCCACAGCTCACTGTAGCAATAAAAAGTCAAAAGCTCTACCGTTTCCTAGTTTTTATTTATTACCCCATGAGCTGCCACTTTCTCATTTTGTACCTTCCAAATTAGGCATTGGGAACCTCTGTCCCGCTGCCTAATAGGGTCCCTATTTGGTATTCACAGCCGGTCCTCACCACATGCACCTGCAGTGTCAGGTGCTTGGCAGGTGGGTGGATTCTGTCTACCCTTCAAAATGGTCTGCCAAGGGTGTGGGAAGTCAGGATCAGGCCTGGTGTCCATTTTTGGGGTGACCAAAGATTTTGCAGTTTTGGTGTGACCAAAGATTAAGAGGGAACGTGACTAATGGCAAAGATGAAAACAGCGAATGGGGAACACAAAGCTTTGTTTTATACACAGCAGCTGAGCACCTGAATCACAGGTCAGAGCAGAGGAGAGTACAGAGTGACACAGAAAGAGATACAAGGGGAATCTTACAGCCTGTGCACAGCCTTAGCTTGACTTCTGCATCCAGCTTTCTGAAAAGTTCTAAGAGGCATTTGGAAAGTGGCAGTTCACAATTTTACTGCACTGGAAAACAAACTAGACTAAGAAAAATCCTTGAAGCATAGGTTAATAAGTATTACTAGAAAGACAAATGCGTCATTCTGAAAAATAAGGTCTCACCAGAAGTTCAGGGTTATTGATAATGAAACACCATATACTAATTTTTCATCCATGTAATAAAATATCTCAGTGAGGAATATGGGGGCTGCATAGGTTGGTTTCAGTTATTTTCTACTGCTATGTCTTAATAGGATTGCCAGCTTTGCTCTACACATGAGAGAAACGTCTTCCTGTTTCTGGAAAATAGTCACTGACGCTCAGAGCTATTTCCATCATCACAGAATTCTAGAGTTAGGAGGACCCCTGAGGTCCACCTACTGCTCTAAAACAATTATCAGGGCTGGGCAGCCGTCTGGAGCAAGTCAGGTACCGGGTACCAGGAATCAGGCCAAAGAGCAGTCAGGATCAGAGAATGAACCAGAAGACAGGGGCAGAACAAGGAAGGAGTCCAGACTAAAGAGCAATCAGAATCAGGGTGCAAAACGGTAGGCCAAAACAGAGAATTCAAGATCAAAGAGCAAGATCAGATACACATTGGGACAATGCTATTTTTCTAGAAAAAGAGGTGCTGGAACTCACCATGAACACCTCCCTCATGGCACCAACCTGAGAGGTGCCAGAACTGAGTTCTGCCAAGTTCTGGCTGGGGGGGAAAACCTGCATAGGAACATAGGTAGCTGCCTTTATACCAAGTCAGATTGTTGGCCCACCAAGATCTGTATCATCTATCTAGGGTTACCATATTTTGAAGAGCAAAAAAGAGGATGCTATGAGGACTCTCATTTTAAATACCCCTACTATGTATAGGCTATAGAAGCTGTGATATATTGCTGAGGGGGCAGGAGAAGAAAAGAGGAAAGCAAGTCTTCAGCCACCATTTATGTCTATGTCTCATCCAGAAAGTATAGCCAGAGACATTTTGGCAAATTTAAAAAATCCACCTGGACAGAAACGTTACCTCTGAAAAAGAGGACATGTCCTGGAAAAAGAGGGCACATGGTAGGGCTGCCATATATCCAGAATTTCCTGGACATAGCGTCCAGATGGAATTTTCAAAAATCATTAAAAATGTCTGGGCAACCCATGTCAGAAGTGTTGATTATTTGGGGGGGTTGAATTTCCTTTAAAAAATAGCTCAAAAAAATTCTTCTTTTTTTAGATTTTGCCAAAAAAAGCTCAAAAATCCCACCCTCCAAAAAAGCTCACCAACTTTTGTGTCCAGATTTTCACTTTTTGAAATATGGCAACCTAACACATGGCAACACTGCTGATTGGTTGCAGCTTTCCAGGGTTTCGGACAAGGGTCCCTTGGGATGCTGAGAACTGAACCTAGGACTGTCTGTTTGCAAAGCAGATGTTCTACCAGTGAGATACAACTTTCCCCAACACAAGACATACCAGATAGGTAGACCTTGTTGCTCAAGCACCAAGGAGACAAGAAGTCCTCTTATGTCCCTTCCAACTTAGAAGGGGCCAATGACCAACCTGGCAGGTGGAACCAAGAAGGTTCTTCCCCAAGAGATTGCAGTTACGCTCTTTACCACATGAGGCAGTGGTCAGCAAGTCATGGAAGGAGTCTATCTATGAGCCAGACATAAGCCCGTAGGTCAATACTTTTGTTCAATCCTATATATCAAGACCATTTTCCTTGTCTACAAAGCCAGACACTTTATCTAATCAGGAAACTAGAATGGTCTGGCATGATTTATTTTCAATAAATCCATTTTGACTGCAAGTAACTCACTTGAAATATTGGCTAATACTGTTCCAGTTGTATGTAGCCAAAGGAGAGACAGAAAGTAGGGCAATGTTTTTGATTGCATGAGATTCATAGCTGTTGGCAATAATGTATGTCTGTTCAGTCTTCTCATTCTGCTATCATTTATTTAGCCAGGTACTGTACAAAATGTAGACTGTATTGAGCTTTAAGGCTCTTGTTTCTGCTGTGCATTCTTGTATATATATATATATACAAGATGTTGGGACGCGGGTGGCGCTGTGGGTTAAACCACAGAGCCTAGGGCTTGCCGATCAGAAGGTCGGCGGCGGTTCGAATTCCCGCAACGGGATGAGCTCCCATTGCTCGGCCCCTGCTCCTGCCAACCTAGCAGTTTGAAAGCATGTCAAAGTGCAAGTAGATAAATAGGTACTGCTCCGGCGGGAAGGTAAACGGCGCTTCTGTGCGCTGCTCTGGTTCGCCAGAAGCGGCTTAGTCATGCTGGCCACATGACCCGGCTCCTCAGCCAATAAAGTGAGATGAGTGCCGCAACCCCAGAGTCAGCCACAACTGGACCTACTGGTCAGGGGTCCCTTTACCTTTACCTTTACAGGTCAGATAGTTGTTTATTTCCTTGACATCTGACAGGAGGGCATTCCACAGGGTGGGCGCCACTACCAAGATGGCCCTCTGCCTGGCTCCCTGTAACCTCACGTCTCACAGTGAGGGAACTGCCAGAAGGCCCTCAGCACTGGACCTCAGTGTCTGGGCTGAACAATGGGGTGGAGACGCTCCTTCAGGTATACTGGCACAAGGCTGTTTAGGGCTTTAAAGGTCAGCACCAACACTTTGAATTGTCCATAAACAAGTCCATTCAGATATGTAAAGCTGACATCTATTTTAATGTGCAATTTCATTTCATAATGCATATTTTAAACTGTTGGTTTTCTGTGTACTTTGATATTATTTTTAGGTGAACACATTTTTAACTGACTTTTATCAATAATGTTAATGTATATTTTATTTTAGGCGATCCACTTGGATGATTTTGCATTGAAGCGGTATATAATTTTTTGTTAAATAAAGCAAAATAAAACAAAAATAGAGTAGCCAGGTTGGGGGTGAAGCAGGGGCTGGAAAACCCCTGGTCTAGAGCTCCCTAAAACCTGTCAGCACCTCTGCTGTTCAATGGTTATCTGTTGCTTTGCACATCTAGTTTTAGATCCTGTTCCTTACCTTCCTTAAGATATATGCCTTCTCTACCTCCTGCTTATCTTCCTTCTCCAATTTCTCCTGCGGTCTTTGCATTCTTCTCATTCTCTGCTGCTTGTAAAGCCTCATATTTCTTCCTCGGTTTCCCATCTTCTCACTTCTTCCTCTTATTGTTTCCTGTCTGTGCAACTCTTTGCTAGCCAAGATTAATTCAGTTCTCCCCCTTTAAAACATGCCTATGATGTGTTACGACTAATTTCTTCCATTCAGTCTCTGCCTAATTGTGTTTGTTTTCCCTCTCTTCTGGTCCTTAGCTTCTTTCGAAATTATGCTTTTGGTACATCGGCACATCAGAAGAGCCTGCTGCTATTCAGAAGCATAGCCACTGTGCTTAGAAATAGGACATCCAAACTGTGAACTCTCTTAGCCTGCATCTTATCTTCCCGTGTACTCTGTGCAAAGTGGGAATGATAGAATAGTTAAGGCAGTGGGCCCCCTGCAGATCTCGGGGTCCAGGCAAATGCCCAGCCTTGCCAACTTCTGGAGCCAACCCTCCGTGCATATTTTATAGCCCGGTTTCCATACCCCAATAAAAAAACCAAATGGAGAATCAGACCCAGCTATTTAATAGAGCTGCGGTCAACCTGAAGCATCTCTGGAAATTATATAGCGTGTCTTGCTGGTACTTGAAGGAAAAACCATGCTTGCTTCCATCACTCTTCCGACCACGTTTGAACAAATGCTGGTATTCAGAACTCGGCTATCGTGTTCATTTGTTGGGGGCAAAGTGTGTATCAAAGCCATCTCTCTGGGTAACATTATCTGGGGCTCTCTTTGAAATCCCCAAAGCAACTGTTAATAGCTCAGTTACAGGAAAAGCGATACTGTTTGCGTCGCCCTTGTGAGGGGGCCGGTTGCTTAGCGTCATGGTATATTTTCTGAAAACAGTTGGCAGAGTGATCGGCCTCGCTCAGCTAAACGAATTAAGTAATCGCACAATATCGCAAGGAATATGAGCGAGGAATTTCCATATTATGGCTCTCGATACTCCCACCTCACATGCAAACCCAACGCTTTGGCTGAGCAAGCGGTAACTTGATCTCAGACGGGGCCCTTATTAAGCAGATGCAGTGAAATGATGCAGAGTTTTAGGTTGCATTTGTCAACTCAATGCTTTTTATTACCGCTCATTAGGGCAAGGGATACCTTGGTGCTGAGGATTCATTAGCCAAGCATTGACCCTTGGAGGCGCAGTAATTAAACGGTTCTGGAGACTAAGTATGGGAGCCAGGCCACACACAGCAGGCTGGGAAAAGTCAGCTGCTTCTCAAGCCGAGAGTGATTTTTGCGTAAGAGACTGGTGAAGAAATAGAGACACTGGTGACTCAGATGCAGAATGCCACGATATTCATATTCTTCTGGGGAAGAGCGAAGTTGCTTCTCTGTCGTGTTCTCTATGCATTTGGATACCTCTTTAGACGTTTTAACCAAATTTTGCATGGTGGCTCCTGAGATCAAGGGGCAGGTTGTTTTCTGTGCTTCGGTACAATTGGGTGCCATGTTGAATCAAGATGGCAGATACCGACAAAAATAGAGTGGTTTGTCAAATTATTGGAATACTACAATATATCCAAAACAATGGGAGAAATTGGAAGGCTCTCAAAAGAGAAGATAGACAGGGACTGGAAGGTGTTTAAAGGATACTTGCAAAACTATATTGAAAAATCAGAACTCCTATTAGAATAAACAAGTTCCATTTTAAATACTGGAATATTAAATAAGATGGATAACAATGTGTAATAGAAAAAGAAGCATGAAATTAGGTTAAAGGCATGTGAAAGAAAGTAATAGAAGTGGAAAGAAATTGCAATTGAATAGATTGGAAGTCTAACACAAAGGTGGGGTGAGGGGTGGTGGATGGTGATGGGAAAAGGAATTATCTGTGGGATTGAGTGTAGGTATGTTTGAACATTTTAAAGGATTGTATGAAATGTATGTTTGTATGTTCACAATATGTGTATATTAATGCTGAATTATTTTAACAATAAAAACTTTTCAAAAAAAAAAGATGGCAGACTGACGCTTTCAAAACTGTACTGACTTTTTTCCCCTCTTGACCAACACCAGCTACAAGGCCACCAGTAAATATGTTAAGGTGAATGTAACTCTTCTCTCAACAGAATATTTTCCTGCAAATTAAAGTAATTTAGACAGAATGTTTGTGTTACATTGCTTCACAAGCAAGTGATTCAAAGGCCAATAGACATGTGGGCTGAAATACCAGGCAGAGTTAAGTGCAGTTCACTCAGTCAATCATAGAATTGTAGAATTGGAAGGGACCTCAAAGGTCATCTAGTTTAATCCCCTGCAATGCAGGATTCTCAGCTAAAAGCAAGCAAGCAATCATTTTATTGGTATGCTGCATTTCAGAGTTAAAACCATGCTCAAGGCAACTTATAACTTTTTAAGAATTACATAACTACAAACATAACAAACGTAGTCATAAACAATAAGCATACCATTAAAAAGTACACAACCAAATTGAACACAGTAACACCCCTACATATTATTTATTAAACTATGTGTAAATCACCTTGAAACAGTGGTTTAGAAGGTGATTTATGTGTGGTGGACGTGTAAGGTAATAAAAGCATTCTGGGAAATGATATACAATGAATTGAAAAAAATGTTTAAAATAATTCTTATTTAAAAAACGCAGAGGCTTTTCTATTAGGAATTGTAGGTGCTGAAATTCCAAGGGAACAGAAAAGACTTTTTATGTATGCGACAACAGCTGCACAGATGCTGTTAGCTCAGAGATGGAAAGAAGATAAAGTCTCTGCCAGAGAAGAATGGCAAATGAAGTTGTTGGACTATGTCAAAATGGCAAAACTGACCGGAAAGCTCAGAACCAGGAAAACCAAAACTTTAATAAGGAATGGAAAAATTTTACCATTTATCTTAAAAACCACTGTAAACAGTTGGAAACAATAGCAGGACTGCAATAACACTTGTAATGTAAGGAGAACTATGTCTACAATGGAGTTATAAAAAGCTTGATTATTTAAAAAAGATGCAGTAGAAAAGGTTTAATAACAGAACCCATGGAGGGGAGGGGGGAAGTTCAGAGATTCAGGGGAATCTTGTGACTTTGGATGTGTTGTGGGATGTTTGTAAACTTAAATATGTAAAACCAAATAAAAATTATATACAGTATATCATTTTGAAGGCGGTTTATGAATCAGTAGCAGAGACATCACCTTGCCAACAAAGGTCCGTATAGTTAAAGCTATGGTAGTGATGTATGGAAGTGAGAGCTGGACCATTAAGAAGGCTGATGGCCGAAGAATTGATGCTTTTGAATTATGGTGCTGGAGGAGACTCTTGAGAGTCCCATGGACTGCAAGAAGACCAAACCTTTCCATTCTTAAGGAAATCAGCCCTGAGTGCTCACTGGAAGGACAGATCCTGAAGCTGAGACTCCAATACTTTGGCCACCTCATGAGAAGAGAAGACTCCCTGGAAAAGACCCTGGTGTTGGGAAAGATGGAGGGCACAAGGAGAAGGGGACGACAGAGGACGAGATGGTTGGACAGTGTTCTCGAAGCTACCAGCATGAGTTTGACCAAACTGCGGGAGGCAGTGGAAGACAGGAGTGCCTGGCATGCTCTGGTCCATGGGGTCACAAAGAGTCGGACACGACTAAACGACTAAACAACAACAAGAAGCAGTAGTAGTAGTAATAATTGGCATTGGAGGTTGCTGGAAATCTTAAGTAGGTGCTTATGTGCTCAGATCTTACTTGTGGGCTTCCCACAGGCATCTGGTTGGCCACTATAACAGGATGCTGGACTAGATGGGTCTTTGTCCTGACCCAGCAGGCTTTTTAATGTTTTATGTTCATTCAAACATTATGGCCTGGGTTCTGCTGAAGCAGGGCTTTCTTGCCATCTTCTTCCTACTGAGCCTTCTGAGCCCCTCTCCAATTCCGCCAATTCCGAGGGTCAGGAGGATGCTTGGGAATGGTTTGGAATATGGCACAGGAAGCGAGTCAGTGGAAATCACGAAAACAATCCCTCCTTGTGCAACCAGGAGTCCCATATGACATCATTAGTTTACAGAATGTGAATTAAGGTGCTTTTTAGAATGTTTTAAACTTTTCTTTTTAAAAAAACAATTTTAATGATATTTTTAATGATGTGTTTGCCACCCTGGGCTCCTTTGGGAGGAAGGGTGGGATATTAATTGAATAATATCTCTCTCGTTTTTTCATCGACTCATAACCTACAGTTTAAAGCAGAATGAGAAATATGAAATATATTATAAATATAAATATAAAACAACAGTGAAAGCTTAAAATATTAGTAAGAAAGTAGTAAATAAAACTACAGCAAAATATCATGCTGTAGTTTTTTAAAAAAAAAATAAAAGCAAACATTGTTTAAATCAGACATTTCAGCTGAGGAGGCATAAAGCTATGTTTCCATGACTTGCTCAAAAGGCAGGCAGGGGTGGAGTTGGGGTTAGACAAATTAACAGAGGATGGGTCTGTTAATGACGTGTCCATGTGTGTGCGCTCCCCAACTAGAACATCCAGGTTCAGAGAAGATGCTACTGAATGTCAGTTTCGGGGAAGAGGACAAAACCAGAGAAGGACAAGGTTCCCATAGGCAGTGCTTTTTTTCTAAAAAAAATTTGGTGGAATTTTCATTTTCCTACTCATATTGAAATACTGCCCCTCAATGAGGCCAAACTTAGATTCACAAAATGTTTGGGGGTCTGCATATCCCTGCGTCCCCCACAGAAAAAAGCACTGCTCATAGTTATCTGGTCAGCCACTTTGAGAACAGATCCTTGGACTAGATGGGCCTTTGGCCAGATCCAGCAGGGCCCTTGTTGTGTTTTTAATTACGTACCCTATAGGGCATATCTGGTGGGAACATCCAAGTGCATGATTTGCTTGTTGTGGCAAACTCTACCGCTGGAATGTTCATGGCCAGTGATCTGAAAAGGCCGCAAACAATTCCAAAGAAATTTCTTTTCTTTTCTTTTCTTTTCTTTTCTTTTCTTTTCTTTTCTTTCTTTCTTTCTTTCTTTCTTTCTTTCTTTCTTTCTTTCTTTCTTTCTTTCTTTCCATTTGATCAAATATTCATGGAAATATGGCTGTGTGGTATTTGCTCAACCCAAGTTCATCAATAAGCCACTTTTCCATCCACATTTGTCTAATTTTCCTTGGTCTAGTCTCAAGGGAGTGTAAGCACTCTTAGGTTGATCCCCATTTATGGCTAAATAAAATACCAACGTGTCAAAACTGGATCACTCCAGACATCCTCCTTTCAAGTGTTTGTGGGTACAAATCAACCCAGCCTCAACTATTTGGATAGGTGGTGGACAGCAATTGCCAGACTATCTCCTGCTATTGTGGAGGTGACCTGGAGGCATGCCTCTTACCCTGGTTCCCCACCCCCACCAGCTGCTGCCCCGTTCTCTGGCATCACAAACCAAACATTCTAATATGCCATATTATTTATGGGCTTGTAATTATTTAGCATCTGTATGTCAACATTACAATACCCCCGTTGGCTGTAAAGGAGCAAAATCTTTCTTTAATTAACATGACACGGCCTGTGTCAACTTTCCTTGGTCCTAGCCTTTTAAAATTGAGTTGGGAGTTTGGATTCCAAGCCAAATACCTGTGTTTTAAGCAAAGACTAAAAAGACAGAGTTCTCATTCACTAAAACTAGTCTTGGAAGCCAATAATTTTATGTGTTTTAAGGAGGTTTATGCTATACTGGGGCATTTACAATGGAATTCATTGAATGGGAGACCACAGTGGCTGTGTGTGTGTGTGTGTGTGTGTGTGTGTGTGTACAGGTACAGTTTAATAAGGAGGAAGCAGCAAATAACTGCAGTTGCCTGTCCCCTCCAACAGCTTCAGATGCATCAGTGATTGCTTCAAGACATGCACAGACTCATAAAAAAGGCTTGGTAATAAAAAATGCACCAGTTTGTTTACGCAACACATTTCTTCTTTGAGGAAGAAGCAAATGACACATTGCTAAGCGTTCAAGAAACAAACTGAACCGCCATTGAATTTAATTACCCGACCACCCTGTGAGTTGCATGAGCCAAATCCAGTTCTAAAGTCAGCAGCTATAACTCCCACTGGGAATGGCACCCGCTTTGCCAAGGCTAAATATGGCCTCGGTTGTTTTTTTCTATGTTTCTTAAGTGCCAAGGCTTTTGCTATATCATAATTGACAGCTACCCTGGGCTCACCGCATGGAGCTGTTGGTTTTTCCATGCACAAAGAGCAACCTTATACTTTTCGGTTAGATGACTTTTGCTTTAGATGAAAGAAAACACCCCAAGATGAAATTGGAGAAATTGGCTGGGTGGGTTAGAAAAGCGATGGCAATACAGGGCCAAATGTATTCCATAATCTTCCCCCAAAAAGAAGAAGAGACCCTTGCACTTAAATCTGACACAGAGTTGGGTACGCTGAAGCCCAAGGCAGTCAGGGAGCTCAAATATGTTTAGCTCTGTGTTGAACCGTAGCTCTGTGTTGAACCTTTCATTTGGAAAGCATTTCCATTATGTCCAATGGGACATGCTTTTATATAATGGCTACTACAACCTAGAGCTGGTGCCCTTTAGGAATGGTAGGGTGAAAGGCAGGGAGACCAACAGTAGGGGGAGCCAGAGTCAATGATAGGTGGAGCCAGAAACAATGACAAGCAGAGCCAATCAATTCAAGTTTCATCCCCATTCTCCCCCTCGCTGAGTTCTGCAAGGGCAACACAGAGACAAAGGTGGAAGGTGATAGGCAGTACCTACGGGAGCAACACTGGGTGTTGCAACTATTACATAGTAAATTGAGCAAAACGGAAAGCAACACATGGGGAGATGCCAAATTTTGGCCTTGCACAGGTCACCACTGAAATTAGAAAAACCAAGGTCCAGCCTTGACATGGAACTGCCAATGTCAACTTTACGGGGTTTTCTGTGTTGATAAAGTCAGTGCAGAAAGGCTAATTCTGTCAGCTTCTCTCATTTATTTTTATTTACATCATCTGCTCCAGAAGATCTCTGACCCTCTGGAGGAGAAGTGATGGGGGACGCAGGGGAGAAGAGAGGAAGGGAGAGTCCCGTTTGTGTGAGTGAAAGCTTCATGCACCAGTGGGACACCCAAATTGGATATCACTCTCAAGCTCTTTTGTAAAATTCACAAAGCATCCGTGTTATCTCAAATGCCTGCTTGTCACATCTGGGCAATTTAAGAGAGTCATCACCAATACATTTGGGGTTATTCAACAAATCTTTAACTGATATAGTAAAGAAAGCTCTGTTGTGCCTGACATAAGAAGAGCCTGCTGGATCAGGCCACCTAATGGCCCATCTAATCAAGCATCCTGGTCTCAAATGCCTGTGGGGAAGCCGGAAGCCAGACCTGAGCACAAGAGCACTCTCTCCCTGCAGTGGTTCCTGGCAAATAGTATTCAGAAGCATTACTGCTTCCAACTATGGAGGCAGAACGTAGCCGTTGTGGCAAGCAGCCATCAATAGCCCTCTCCTCCATGAAAACCCCAATAAGCTTCTCTGCTTCCTTTTTAGTGCCTTTTTCTGATTTAATTTAACAGAAACCAAAGAGGACAAACTCATATGATGACATACCTGCCCTGCAAGAGAGTTTGATATTTATATCTCTAGGTTTCTGCTAGCTAACCTGAAAACTGGCTGGAGCAAAGCCCATTCCATGGGTCCAAATGGATTCACATCCAACTGCATCAGCTCGACTAGTCGGTGGAGAAAAGGGGCTGCAAGTCATTAGCTCATTACCATTTCTGGCACGTAGAGAGAGATACAATACGGTTTGAAAGTGGCTGTGTTTTAAATATAACCATTCTGCTCCCCTGGGTGGATTCTGTTTCTAGTGCTGTTTCTAAGATGGTGGTGGGGTGGGTGTGACACACGGCAATTCGCTCCATCCTCCTAGATTTCTTGTCTGTTCTGCTTAAAATAGTTTTGTGGAGGGAGGGCAAGGCAGCTACCAATGCCTGTCTGTTATGCTTTAGCAACGAAGGCTTGCTCTCGTCAGGGAAGCACTATGAGGTGTAAACCTTGTATATAACTACAACAGAAGCTCCAGAAGGCCTCCATTTTCTGAGGAGATAGGCAGCAAGTGTTTTCTCACACCAGTCTAACCCTGGAGGTGTGTTATTTCCCCTGGAGAGGAAATACAGTGGTACCTCTGGTTACAAACTTAATTCGTTCTGGACCTCCGTTCTTAACCTGAAACCGTTCTTAACCTGAGGTACCACTTTAGCTAATGGGGCCTCCCGCTGCTGCCATGCCGCCACCACGCGATTTCTGTTCTCATCCTGAGGTAAAGTTCTTAACCTGAGATACTACTTCCGGGTTAGCAGAATCTGTAACCCGAAGTGTTTGTAACCTGAGGTGTTTGTAACCCGAGGTACCACTGTAAGTATGTCAGCTTCAGGGTTTGTGTACTCGCACCCCCTACCCCCCAGGGGCAAATTGGGGAAGAGGAAGGCTTGGTATCCAATAGTTCAAAAACCTCCCTTGGTCTGCAACCCACCCAAAACAGACTCCTTATTAGCCCCTCTGCCCTTGGGCATGGAGAGCAGAGAAGCAAATGTAGTGAAAGGCAAACTTTCCTCTCTGTGGGAATGCTTTGAAAAAGTATGCTTTGAAAGAGGGATGGGCAACCTGTGTTGCAGCAGGTGTTGTTGGACTACAATTCCCATCGGCCCCAGCCAGCATGGCCAATGGTCAAGGATGATAGGATGGTGGGAGCTGCTTTAACATTCCTGCAGGAGGAATGCTAGGCAACCAACAAGTTTTCAAAAATATGTGTGGGTCTCTTGGATATCCCATGCAAGTAGTCTGTTTGGAAGTCGGAAGGCAAATTTGTAGGCAACCCTTCTATAGAACTGTTACAAATTTTTCCAAGGAGGTAGACAGTGTTATGAAACTGTACACCAGGCATACCAATAAAGCATCATTAAAATATTATCCTTCAGGTTTAATAGCCTGAGAAAATAAGATCTTTAGCTGGTGCCAAGAGGAGGTTAGACTAGTGAACCTGGGACACCATCTCTCTGAAGGCCCCTGACTGCGTGCCATGGTCTAGTCTTTTGCTGTTTCATGGCCAAGCACAGATAATTATTGAAAAGGCTCTTTAAAAATAACAGGCCTCCACCAACAAGTGTGTTCACTTCCCTTGACAAGGTCACCTTGTATTTTGAGAATCTGGTGGCCTCTGATAGATAGCAATAAGTATGTTCTGAAACATGGCCAGTAGGTGTCCCTCTTTTCACAAGTACCTTTATTCCTTGATCACAGGGTGTGGCAGAGCCCATAACAGAGCAAACATATATGATTGCACCATCGTAAAACCCTTCTGAATGCCCAGCGCAATATCAGTAGGGTTGATCCTGCCAATATGAGGCACATGTATAGATATATGTGAAAAGGGAAATAGGCACTTCTTGGTTACTTTGCTTGGGGGATACTAACACTCTCTCAATGATTACAATGACTATACAGTGGTGCCCCGCAAGACGAATGCCTCGCAAGACAGAAAACCCGCTAGACGAAAGGGTTTTCCGTTTTTGAGTTGCTTCGCAGGACGAATTTCCCTATGGGCTTGCTTCGCAAGACAAAAACGTCTTGCGAGTCTTGAGATTTTTTTTTCGCTTTCCCCCCCTTTATCTAAGCCGCTAAGCCTTTAATAGCCTTTTAGCAGCTAATCTGATAAGCCGATAAGCCTTTAATAGCCGCTAAACCGCTAATAGCGCTAATCCGTTAAGCCGCTAATAGGGTTGCTTCGCAAGACGAAAAAACCGCTAGACGAAGACTCTCGCGGAACGGATTAATTTCGTCTTGCGAGGCACCACTGTATGAATCCAGGAGATATGTTTTTCCATTGTATTTCTAGTTAAGGCCAATGGAGAAATTAGATAGATATCAGCAATAGTCTTGTGGCACCTTAAAGAGTAGGAAATGTATCATGGCATAAGCCACAAGACAATCAGACAATTCCATCAAAATGCTGAGTAATATTAAACTAGCCTTTATTCAGAGCAGACCTATTGAAAACAATCACTATGACTAAGATGGCTCCATTAATCATAGTAGGTCTCCTCTGCACACATTCCAGCTTGTCAATGTCCTTCTTAAAATGTGCCCAGAACAGGACACAGTACTTCAGGTGTGGTCTGACCAAGGCAGAATACAGAATACTTGATTGGTATGCTGTACTTCTGTCCATGCAGCCTAGAACAGTATTAGCTTTTTTGCTGCTGCATTACATTGTTGACTTATGTTGAGCTTGTGGTCTATTAAGTCCCCTAGATCCTTTTTACATGGACCACTGGCAAGCCAACTGTTCCCCATCTTATATTTGTGCAGCTGGTTCTTACATTTGTCCCTCCTGAAATTCATTTTGTTCATTTTGGCCCTGTTCTCCCATCCCTTAAGGTCATCTTGAATCCTGATGCTGTCTTCTGTGGCATTAACTTCCCCTCCCAGTTTGATGTCATCTGAACATTTGATGAGCATCCTCTTCATACAAGTCGTTTATAAAGACGTTGAACAACAACAGGCCCAGGACAGAACCCTGTGGTCACTATTTTCCAGCATGATGAGGGACCATTAGTGGTTTGGTCAGTCAACCAGTGCATCATAAGGCCTTCTTAGCACCTCCAGTATTTATAATTCCTACTTTCAGCAATGTACGAAAGCTCATTTGCTCTGAGGTGCGAAACACGTCTGACATGATCCATTTAAAACTCTTTAAAACCTCAAACCAGGGAATGGGGTGAGATGTTGAATGCATAGGATTACTATTTCAAGTTTCTTATATATGTCTGCGTTGTTCTTCTTCTCCATAAAATTCCTTGAAGATTAAATAGATGGAAATCTGATTGGCAAATTCCAAAGAGTTTGAAGGGAACAAGATGAAAAAGGACAAGGCATTGAACTTGGAAAACAGCTACTGAGCACGTGCAAAAGCTACTCTTTTTTCCAAATAAATTTCATAAAGAGTTTTATTACTTGCCTAAATCATGAGCCATGCAAGTGACTTATCCAAAGCTATAAAAATGAGTACTTCTTCTGTTACCTTTATGGGAAATCTAGGATATTATTAACATAATAAATCTCAGGCGCTAACCATGACAGAACCAGATACAAGTCCTTGTTTTTGTAGGTTTCTGTAGAAAGCTACTCAGACAGATGCCACATGCCATGAAATAACTTTAGCAGCCAGGTCCTTTTCATAAACAAAGGACACAGGCCAAAGGAAAAGAAAATCCAAAACAAGTATCATCCCTTGAGCACCTCTTATATACACTAATGTTTGCTGTGACAAATGTTCACCCATTTCTATTATTGTTTTGAAAAGATAACTTCCATGGGAGCTGAAACATGTCCAAACTCTCATTTAATGTTCATTCCCTGCCCCATGCCTGTTCTTTGCTGTTCATTTCCCCTGCTTAGGCACAGTTTTAAAAGTTATTGCTTCTTTCTTCATCTTTCAGTGCATCCGGCCAATCAGCGATTCCATAACACATGTTATGACATCACAATACAAAATAGTGAATCACCTTTGGATGCCTAATGCCACCACTGAGGGCAAATGAAAACTAATAAGAGAGCAGGCAAAGTTTCATGAACAGATCACATTACTGGATCACTGGTCATCCTCATTCCAAATGTGCATGACATATCTGCCCCTTTCAGAGTAACCTCCCCGCCCAAAAAAAATCAACAAAGGGAATGTGTTTCATTTTTGTCCCTGCCAAATCATTTCCAGAAAAGTGCTCATTTCCCCCACTTTCAATTCGGCCTCGCCAAATGTATTGTGATCCAGTGCATGATTATTTGTGGGGAGGGATTGGAGATAAACATATGCCTTGTAGATATATAAGCTGTACTGGCAGTAACAAGAGTTTCTGCTTTGAATACCCATAGTTCAAAGCTCTGCATCAACTGGTGGTCCTCCAGATGTTGCTGGACTTCAGCTCCCAACATCCCCAGCTGGCATAGCCAATGGTCTGGCTTGATGGGAGTTGTAGTCCAACAACATTTAGAAGGCAACAGATTCCCCATTCCTGCATTCCATCTGCCACTGGCTACCCACTGTCTATCCATTTAGAAAGTGTATGATAAAAGCAGCTTAAGAGCTAGTGGAAAGATCACCTGCCTCACAAAAAACATAGTTTCACTAAATGTTAAAAAAAAGCACAATTTTTGTCAGAAGTGTAGAAATATGCTCAGTGGCTGCTGCACCAGGCGGCAGATATCAACTTTTTACTCTCAGAAGGTCCAGACAATGTCTTTGTTCAACAATCTGCTTGTCCACTGTGTGTTGGCTTCTCATTTAATGGTTTTTCATATTGCTTCTAACTAGCACATTTCTTGGTCACTTATTTCCCACGTTATTCTCATTATCCTCATTATTCATCCTTTGTCATAGGATTCGCTACTTCCCAAAGAACAAGCAAATCAGTTCATTTTTCCCTTGTGTCCTTTCTGAATTCTCTGCTACATTTGTCATTCATTTGTTATATTTAGTGTCCCACGATTGGCCATTCTGCATTTAAAAAAAAATAAAAATAAAAAATCAACAGCATTTTGAGAAAAGAGCAGTTTCTATGGAACGAGAACCCTTTGAATGGCTTTAGCATCCTTTATTTTGATTATGTGTCAGCTTATTGTGCCCAAGATATGGAGATATGGGCCTGTTGTTTTCCTCTGGGTAATGAATGAACAAATAAGCCAGTGATGATTCACATGCAGTCATTCCAGAGTTCAGACAATGGGAAACAATAATGGTTTCAAAAATACGACACTTTCATCTACAATATTTATAGGTTATTATTAAACGGGAATGGTGCTTAACAATGCCTTTGAAAAAACAAATCATTGTCTCCTATCACCATTTAGCAGTTTCTTCCTGGGAAGTGTTTCGTAAATGCTTGATGAATATGTCCTCCCTTAGGACTTAGGAAACAGAATAGTGGGCTTTAAAGGGCTGGTGCATCCATTCCTTCGTTAACAGGAATGGGGGGTTGGTGCTGCTTTCAACTATTAGTCAGTAAGAGATTTCATTCAATCCTCATGAATGACATGATACGGAGACATCTAAGGAATGTGTGTTGCTTCTCCATTTCTGTCACCAAGTAGTTGGGGAATAGTTGGAGGCACTGATGCTTCTGAATACTGGAAGCCACAGAAGGGGAGAGAGAGCGCTCTTTGGGGGTTGGACTATATGATCCTTGTGGACCCTTCCAACTCCAGAATTCTATTATCCTTGTGCTTGGGTCCTGCTCGCAGGTTTCACACAGGTTTCCACTGTGAGAAGCAAATGCTGGACTGGATGGGCCGTTGGCCGGACATCCTAATGTGAAATTATGCAAAGCGTTAATACGAACCCATGAGAACTGCTGCGCAGAATACACCGTGCGGCATTTGATAACTCACTTAAGTGCTTTTTCTGCTTTCCTTGGGCAAATTACTTGACCACAGTAAGCAGCAGAGAAATTATAAAGCAACGGCCGGATGTCTGAGCATATGGCAGGCGAATACAACAGGAACTTGCAGAGAGAGCAACCAGGTGCGGCGGCAGCTGAAGTCGAAATGTTGGTGACAGATGTTCTTCCTGGTCTTTTGGAGAAGTGCATACCAGTCAGCATCTTCATCATATCACCTGACATCTCCTGCTGCAAGGAAGCATGGGATTACTTGATGACTTTTACAACTGTGGGACAGGGCTGCGAGCATGTGCAGGTTCTGCGTCACCTCTGCCTGTAAACACCTCCTCCATCGCGCAGCCTCTCAGCAAGGGGACCGTAAAGAATGCAAAGGGGCTCGAGAGGAAACCTGGGACAGAGGATTCGGCTGTCAACTCGCGAAGTTCGGCAGCTGCCCTGCTTATAAACACTTTCTCCACCGGGCACCCTGTCGGCCAGTGGATTGCAAATCGCATTCTAAAAGCGGCGCTGATTTCATCAGAACGCAGGCAAATGACAAAGGCCCACTAAACTCAGTCACTGCACCTACTAATAGGTAGAGCCAGTGTGGTAAAGTGGTTAGAGCATCAGGTTAGGACCTGCGTGACCAGGGTTTGAATCCCCACTCAGCCATATAGTTCAATGGACCTTGAGCCAGTCGCACTGCCTCACTCAGCCTAACCTACCTCACAGGGTTTTTGTAGGGATTAAATGAGAAGGGGAAATGTAAGCCTGTTCAAGCTCCATGGAGAGAAAGGTAGGACATAAACACATTAAACAGATAAATAAGAGGGATTGGAGTATCTGTCAGTTTCTCAGGTTCTCATACGTTTTCACTGTAAATAGTAAGCATAATGCAAAACATGTGTCTTGCGTCATTTGTTGAAGGCAAGTCAACACAGTAAGAGCTAGAACTAGAATTGAGCTGAAATTGCAGAGAAGACTTTTTTCTCCCTTGAGAAAAATTCTGAGAATGTCCCGGGGTTGAGGAGGGTGCCCCTTTGCAGAATTTACTCTGAATATAAGCTGCCATTTTAAAAATATTTTTTAATTTGAAATCATTATTATTGTGCACATTTCCCCACAGTGCCTTGGAATAAGGCTGGATCTGTGGCATTGGGGAGGATGCAGAACAGTGTGGCTGGGCTGCCAACACAGTCAATGAAAACCTATAGGGGGGAAATGAAGAGTTGCTGCCCTTATCATTGCCAATTACCCCTCAAGAAACAAGTGGAGAATTTCTCCTCCCACTAGAGAAATCTGGTGAAATAATCTCTTAGCCATTTCTCTGTCTCCAGACAGGGTGGAAAAAATTCAAGAGACCAGTTACGTACACCTCCACCTAAAGCCATGCCAGCAGTAGGCAAATAATGGGTTGGATTCAGCTGGCTGTCACTGGGTCCCATCAATGGGGCAAGTTACTTGCAACTTAACTTAATCCCATTGATTTCAGCATGAACATAAATGCAACCAACTAAAGTGTGCTATTCTATGCACACCAACTTGGAAGGCAGCCCTGCTGAATTTAATGGGGCTTACTTCCTGGTAGGTGGGGTTAGGAATCCAGACTGGATCCAACTCCATGTCTTTTACTGCTCCATATTCATCTTCAAGAATTTGCATGCAGAAGGTTCTAGATTCAATCCTTGGCATCCCCCAGATAGGGCTGAGAATGCCCTCTGTCTGATCCCCTGGAGAGCTGTTGCTAGGTGAGCTAGGTGAGCAAAAGGTCTGACTCTGTAAAAGGCATCTTCCTAGGTTCCTATGCACCTTAAAGCTAGTGGGATTTGAAAGTGCTTAATTTGAGCTGGGCCATGCCTTTAGGTCTCTGAGAGAGCACAGCAAGTGGGAAATTTCAAACGGTGGAAATTTTATGGCAAATATCCTGCCTCCATTTCCCCAAAGGCAAAAAAACTGAGGACAGTTAGTGCACAGAGTAGCTGTAAACGATAGCGAACATAATGGACCAGTTCTATCGCTGCGATCCAACAAATGTGATCTGGGTGGCCAGCAATAACAAAACCAATGTGCAGCTTCATCGAAAATTTACATGAGGATGGAGTTCATTTTCAGCTTGCTGCACCTCTGGGGGACTGAACTTGAATCAGATCCATGTAGCTAAGTTGTTCTCAGTGTTATAATAGGAAGTACGAACTCTTGGCAGTGGAAAGAGGCAAATGGGATACTGGAGGGAAAATAATACAAATAAAAAAAAAGAGGTTCAATTTGTTGCCTGAGCAGAACAGTGTAATCTTGACAGGGTGAGAACAGCAAGCCAGCTCTACAGGGACAATATTTATTCCTGAATTGGGAAGGGAAAGTGAATAAGGGAGGTTGTTTGCCAGCTGCTAGGAGCTATAAGCAGTTTGGTTTTTAAAGGCCTCTGTGTTCACCTTGAGTCAGGCCTGGAGATTATTCTTACACTTCCTAATTTACAGCTGATCAGGAAAAGTGAAGTGGGTGGAAACAAACTGTGGAAACTGTACTGGGCTAAGTTCAGCCTTGAATAAGGGACAACCTGCCTCACTACCAATTGTGTGGCTGCCTATTTTTCTTCTTCCTTCCTTCTGATGGCAAGTTTTGTGTGTGCTCTGCCATGGGTCCAAGTAGCAATATGGCATGCCTATGCAAATATTCCAAAAGTTGTTTGGATGACTGCATGATCTCAGCCACCATTTATGAAAGGAAGCAGAGACAGTCATCTTCTCCCTGTTTCAAGCCAGATGTGGTCGTTCTTCAGACCATTTTCTAGATCCATTTCAGTTGGGGTTTTGGCCCAGAAACTGCTTTGGTCACCCAGTATGATGACCTCGGACAGGAGAGACAGGGGAAATTTGTCTCTGTTAATTCTTTCAGTCTCTCAGTGGCTTTCAGTGGCGTCAACCATGGTAGCAGATGTCCATCTTATGAGTGGGTGACACTGTTTTGTGGTGGTTCCAGTCCTACTTGGATGGTTGTTTCCAGAGGTTGATGCTTGGAAAGTGCTCTTCAGCCTGATTGAGCCTCAGGGTTCAATTTTATCCATTACGCTGTTTAACATCTACGTGAAAATGCTGGCTGGGGTCATCCGAAGTATTGGAGTGTGTTGTCAGTCTTTAAGAATGCAGCCAGAAATGTTACAGAAATGCCAGTACACACTTACCCAGAAGTAAGTCTCATTAGGCTTCCTTCTGAGTAAGCATGCCATAAGATTGTACTGTAAGGAAACAAGAAACATAGGCATGGCAGCTTCTGTTTCTGATCAGGCCTGAAAAGAGATTTGTTCTTTGCACATACAGTGTTGTCAGATCCAGTGCAGATCTGGAAACCTTATAAGCAAAACAGTTGACTTGCCTGAAACAGTCAAGTATGCTTTTTTATTTAGAAAGGGGGGGGGTGAGAGGTAATAAACATAAACTCCTTAACTGAGAACAAGCCAGGCAAACGTGACAATGTGAACGGCAGATAAAAACAAACCATGAGTACACTTGCTGGCCTTCTGCAGTGACAAAGCAGCTCCTTTGATATTTTGTGAATTAACTACCACTTGGAACAGGGAAAATAAATTTTAAAGGCCATACAGTCTTTTTTGTTTGTTAATTGTGACTTATTATATTTTTTTCCAAGGGGGTTGATGCATTGCCTGTGCATAAACAGAAGTAGCTTGCTTACAACTCCCGTCTTCTGCTGTTATGAGTTTATGAGAAAGGAAGCTCAAGGAAGATCAATAAATCCTCTGCGTACATTACAAATGACTTGTGACGTAGGTCCACAGGAGCTGTTTTTAGTGGGGGATAGTCCAGTTATTATGGATTTGACATGAACTTGGCCCATTGCCTTCAAGGGAATGAAATGTAGGCATAATTTGGCCTTCCTGTAATTGTCTCTTTAACTTGGCGATGGAGGCTAATTTTTTCCTGTGAAATGAGCCCAAGACGTCACTAGAGCAATGCCCATATTAATTAATGAGACATAATAATACTAATAAAAGCTCATGATATGAGGCCTCTTCCTTCAGCTCCCCCCTCCCCTCCCCTCCCCACATGCTCTCTTAAGAAAACTGCTTTACAGGAATCTGTGAGTCACTTTCCATCAAGGCGCTTTGTCTTTAATTGACGCAAACAATACAGTGGAGACAAATAAGCAGCGTAGAACCATCTGTTTAATTGAGTCCTTGACATTTTATTGCATTTCCCCCAATTGCATATTAAAGGAAGCAAATAGAAAAACACTGGCTAATTATATGCTGTTTACGGATCCTAGATTTACTTTGATTGTATTCCTCTAGATGACGATCCCGCCTTGTTACACGCGTACCTTCTGCTTCCGCCTGCTTTCGCGTTGCACGTTTGCATAACAAATCCTTGTTGTGCATTTAGCATATCTCATCCCTGCAAAGCTCTTTGTGCATCTGAAAAGGAAAACAATAATCTTGGGAGGGCAAACTCATGAAAGGTTCCCATATGGCCTGCTGTCACTGATCTTAGGAATAGAGTAAGCTGTGCTACATTCCACTTTTTATTTTCCTCATATTAATTCAGCTGAAGATACAGCTGAATACAGACAGTTCATTGGATTCTACGATGCCGGTTTGTAAGCGAATGGTTTGTTGAGACAGATGTCAATATTGCACCTGAAAAGAAGACTCGTGCGAGATAGCATTGGAATAAGGTTATATTCAGTGCTTTTTTCCTTAAAAGAAAATGTTTAGGGGTACTCTCATTTTCCTGTTTGTACAGTCATACCTCATGTTGCATCTGCTTCAGGTTACGTGTTTTTGTGTTGCGTCCTGCGGCAACCGGGAAATAACGGAACGGGTTACTTCCAGGTTTTGCCGCTCACACATGCACAGAAGCACTAAATCACACCCCACAGGAGCGCAGACCCGGCACTTGGGCTTGCGTCAGTTCCGTGTTAAGGATGGGCCTCCAGAACTGATCCCATCCATAACACGAGGTTCCACTGTACAGGGGTACCTCGGGTTACAGATGCTTCAGGTTACAGACGCTTCAGGTTACAGACTCCGCTAACCCAGAAATAGTACCTCGGGTTAAGAACTTTGCTTCAGGATGAGAACCGAAATTGTGCGGCGGCGGCACAGTGGCAGCGGGAGGCCCCATTAGCTAAAGTGGTGCTTCAGGTTAAGAACAGTTTCAGGTTAAGAACGGACCTCCAGAACAAATTAAGTTCTTAACCTGAGGTACCACTGTATTGAAATACTGCCCCTCAATGAGGCCAAACTTAGACTCACAAAATATTTAGGGGTATGCGTACCCCTGCATCCCCCCAGAAAAAAAGCACTGGTTATATTTATTAGAATATAACAAGTGGGAAGAGTTGCCAATCTACATTAACCCAATTAACCAATTCAAAGAAGTAGAGACAGGAAAGGATTTAGCTAATCCTAGTAGAGAAGCATCTCTCCAGCCTTCTAGGCATGTGATGCAGTCTCAGCCTGTGGCTTCCCAGCTTAGGGTGGGGTGGGGGGGATAGCCTCCTGCTTGCTAGAAGTGTCGGTTATGAAATCAGCACATGCACTCAGGTCGCACTGTGCAGCATTTGCCTAAAATGCCAGGCCTAAAGAGCATCCACAAGTCCCACCAGGTATAAAGCACTGGCAGATCCCTGAAAGCTGCTCTTAACCCAATAATGCCTCAGTTTCCCAACTGTTTTCTCACACACTGCCTTACCTGCCCATGCTCAATGTCCACCATGACTACCAGACCACACAACTCCCAGACTGCCCACTGAATTAGTCCCAGCAGTAGGAGAAAAACAGGACAACCCTAAGGCAACTCAAGGATTTCTCCCTCAAAAATTCCGACTCAGCCCCTTCAACAAGACACACCAAAGCCCACACAGCATACAGGGAGGGAGGGAGCTGCAAAACTGCAAGGAGGAATAGCTGGGAGAGGAGCAGTCTTATGAGGCCAAGCTTCCCGCCTTCCCTGTTGACTGTTAGGCCTCAAATGACTTCCTTTGGGGAGCAACTAAAATTCCTGAGTCATCTTTGTTAAGAGGGGAGTGAGGGCAAACATATCTTTTTTTATATATATAAAATATTTATTGAAATTTTCAAAGTGTTACAACATAAAATAAAAGCAGAAGAAAATACAAAATAAAAATACAAATTCAAAAATAAGAAAAAAAAGACAGAAAAAAAGAAAAAAAATACAATTTAAGAACATTTAAAAACAAATTCATTATTCTCGAATCCTCAACTGTCATTACCTTCTTTCTTTGACCTCCTCCTCCTCCCTTTCTTTGTATCCTAGTTATTAATTATCCCAGCAAATCCTTTCCATATTTCATAATATTCTGTCATTACATTACCCTAAACAGTTTTAATCTTATCTTTCTAAAAGAAAATAAACCTTAAAGCTTAAAACTTAAATCTTATCCTTACCAACTTCTCATAACCATAATATTCTTTCATAATTCTTTAAACATCTTTACTAAAGCCGAGTAATTTCATTCCAACATTTTTCTGACATTCATCAATTTTATAAAACAATTCTAATGGTAGAAAAAAGAAATACAAACAGATCCAATCTTCATCCAACGTCCCTTCCTCCTGGTTCTGGGTTTTGTCAGTCCTTATTATCCCATCGATCTGGCCCATTAACCTGGCAACCTTATATCCAAGGCCCTCAAGTCTCTTCCATGTCCCTTTCGCAGCTCTTCTTCATATTTGTAACTGTGTTTTCTCTTGTCTCCTGCTCGTGGTAACTCCAGCTTGGCAATTTTTTTAACCCTTCTCGACAGATCAGCCCCTTTTCCATATTCAGCACTGAATTCCAAATGGTATTTTAAAGCATGTTTCAAAGACCCTCCAAAATTAAGAGCCCCCACAATCCCAAACATCTCACGGCACAATGCCAGATTTGAAAAGTCCAAACATCCCAGCATGGGGGGGGGTCAATCCAGCCCCCCATTTCCAAGCCAAACCAAACTTTTTCTTTCCAAATCTGGCTTTTTCCAAGTTCATTTGTCAAATCCGAAAACTCATATTCCTGTTGGGCCTGTTCTGTCAGAACACACACTCCTGATTTAATTCCTGGGTGGGCTCCACATATTTACCCACTGTCTGTTCAAAATTTCCCACTGCCTGTTCAAAATTTCTAGTCGAAGTCGTCATCAAATTCACCTTCTCATGTAACTGTTCCAGTAGGGCATTTGTTTTGTAGAAAGCACACAACAAAGCTTCTGAATACATTGTTCTGCAAGGTCAAATGCCTATTCCCACGATTGCAATCTGTAAACAGCTGCCAGCTCCCTGGAGTTGGTTACAGTTTCACAGTCTCCCTCTAGGGGGAAAACTTCTATTTGATCTTGCAACAAAGTTTCCCTTTTTGAGATATTTTGTCAATATTTGTTCCTTTGAAATGCGAAGGGAAACAGTGGAATCACTATGTTTCTCTTCTTTTAGCTATCTGTCAAAAACGTTTGTCTCTGGTCAATGAACTTCAAACGTCAGTCCTGACACCCCGCTCCAGGATCAGGACGTAGGAAAGTTGCTTTACTTTAAACTCACTTTAAACAGTCCAAAACAGATCCCCCTTCTTCTCCTGCTGTCGAAGGGGGGTTCCACAATTTTAAATGATGAAATCCAATCCTTTAAAAGCGATTTTCTGAGCTCTAGTTTACGTTGTCTTTGCTTTATTCTGTCTACAGAAGACCGGAAGGCTGACTTCCTGTTTAGACCTTCCCGTTCCGTACCAAATTGAAATAGATTTTTAAGATCCAATTCCTTTCTGCTCACAAGTCCCCATCTAATGTCCAGTTGTTCAAAGTCTAAGTACTCACGGGTGCTTATTTTAGAGTCCAAATTGTCCCAGGAAAAAGGCAGCGCTCTCCGGCAACGGCTATGCAGCTTCGCTCCACGGAAATAGCAGTTGACTCACAGCACCGCGCCACTTCCCCCTCTTCACTTCGGAGCCCGTTAGTGGGTTCCTTAGCGAGTTGGGGGGGCGCTAAAGGTGCCCGCCGAGTCCCATGGTCACAGGCTTCATCCGCCTGTGATTTTTGAAAGGGTCCCCGCTTCGCCGTAGCGGAGAAGACCCGTTTCCCACGGAGCTAGTCCCTCCAGTTCAGAGGGAGTCCGCCATTGCCGATGGCGCCACCCCGGAAGTGAGGGCAAACATATCTCTGCCGTATGTGCAGAAATGATATTCTTGTGATTCTTCTTCCTATGCAGTGGCACTTTAGAATCATAAAAGCATTCTGACAAGAAGTGCTTAGGTGTGGAAGTTTGCCTTGAAGAAAGGAGGAGTGTGTTGTAGCAGATAGTCAGGTAGACCCAATACATTTCAGACCCTCCAAGTGTCCCTATTTTCCAAGACAGTCCTAGATTTACAGAAGCTGTTCCAGTTTCTGATTTGATTCCTGAATGTCCCACTTTTCCTTAGGATGTCCCTATTTTCATCAGAGAAATGTTGGGAGGATATGGCTATTTTCATCGGAGAAATGTTGGAGGGTATAGAGTTGTGTGACCCCCCCAAGCCAAGGAGATAAGTAACTATAAAATCTTTAGAAGACATCTGAAGGGAAGTATTTTAATGCTTAATGTTTTATTATGTTTTTATATATGTAGGAAGCCACCCAGAGTGGCTGGGGCAACCCAGCCAGATGGGTGGGGTATAAATAATAAAATTATTGTTAATATGATGATGGAATAGGACGTCCTTATTTTCATCAGAGAAATGTTGGAGGGTATGACATTTTGCTACCTGAGTTGACAAAATGGCACCACCCACCCCCCACATTCAAGCAAGAGGCTTTGTCCAAGTTACAGAGCACAAGCCAAGCAAAAACACTCAGGGAGGCTGCAAAGCAGGGCCAGGGAGGGGTGTGGCTATTTATAAGAAGAATATTCAGATACTTGTTCCCTTGTCTGCAGTCTGAAAGGGAGCATACAGAAAGAGAAACGCTGTTTAGAGCAGAGCTTTCCAAACTTTTCATGTTGGTGACACACTTTTTAGCCCGCCCTGTGGAACGCCCTTCCATCAGATGTCAAGGAAATAAACAACTATCTGACTTTAGAAAACATCTGAAGGCAGCCCTGTTTAGGGAAGTTTTTATGTTTGATGTTTTATCGTGTTTTTCATATTCTGTGTTTTTTTTAAAATGATATTTATTAAAATTTCAAAGAAAAGAAAAAGATTACATTAATAAGAAAATTAACAATAAAAAGGAAAAATACAAAATACAAAATACAAAAAAAGAAAAAACAGTTAAAAACAATTCCATCTTTTCATCACTTCTCTTACATTTACTTGTTTCCCGGACCTCCTCATACCACCCTCTTTTGTATTCCAATTCAATTTGTTAGTCCAGCAATTCCTTTCCCTCCTTTTTAATCCTGATCTTTAATCTTGATATATTATAACATTAAATTTTTACGTATTAAAAATCAATTTTTCCATATTCTTTTATACCATTACAGCTAGAAACCACTTAACTTCAATCCGACATCATTCTAACATTCATTAATTTTACAATATTTCTGTAAGTAGTCTTTAAATTTCTTCCAATCTTCTTCCACCGACTCTTCTCCCTGGTCTCGGATTCTGCCAGTCATTTCCGCCAATTCCATGTAGTCCATCATTTTCATCTGCCATTCCTCCAGTGTGGGTAGATCTTGTGTCTTCCAATGCTTTGCAATAAGTATTCTTGCTGCTGTTGTAGCATACATAAAGAAAGTTCTGTCCTTCTTTAACACCGATCGGACGACTATGCCCAGGAGGAAGGCCTCTGGTTTCTTCAAGAAGGTATATTTAAATACCTTTTTAAATTCATTATAAATCATCTCCCAGAAAACCTTAATCCTTGGGCACGTCCACCAAAGGTGAAAGAATGTACCTTCAGTTTCTTTACATTTCCAACATTTGTTATCGGGCAAATGGTAGATTTTTGCAAGCTTGACTGGGGTTATGTACCACCTGTATATCATTTTCATAATATTCTCTCTTAAGGCATTACATGCCGTGAATTTCATACCTGTGGTCCACAACTGTTCCCAGTCAGCAAACATAATGTCATGTCCAACATCTTGTGCCCATTTAATCATAGCAGATTTCACCGTTTCATCCTGAGTATTCCATTTCAACAGCAAGTTATACATCTTTGACAAAATCTTAGTTTTGGGTTCTAACAATTCTGTTTCTAATTTTGATTTTTCCACCTGGAAGCCGATTTTCTTGTCCAAATTGTATGCCTCCATTATCTGATAATAATGAAGCCAGTCTCGCACTTTGTTTTTAGTTTTTCAAAACTCTGCAGTTTCAATCTATCTCCATCTTGTTCCAAAATTTCCCAATATTTCGGCCATTTGACCTCCATATTGAGCTTTTTCAGAGCTTTCGCTTCCATCGGTGACAGCCACCTTGGGGTTTTATTTTCCAATAAATCCTTATATCTTATCCAGACATTAAACAATGCTTTCCTGACAATATGGTTTTTAAATGCTTTATGTGCTTTGACCTTATCATACCACAAATATGCATGCCATCCAAATACATTGTTAAAGCCTTCTAGATCCAAAATGTCAGTGTTTTCAAGAAGCAGCCATTCTTTCAACCAGCAAAAAGCTGCTGATTCATAATAAAGTTTGAGGTCTGGCAGGGCAAATCCACCTCTTTCCTTTGCATCTGTTAATATTTTGAATTTTATTCTGGGCTTCTTGCCCTGCCAGACAAATCTAGAAATATCTCTCTGCCACCTCTTGAAACAGTCCATTTTGTCCACAATTTGCAATGTTTGAAACAAAAACAACATTCTAGGTGTTTTTCATATTCTGTTGGGAGCTGCCCAGGGTGGGCAGGGTATAAGTAATAAATTATTATTATTATTATTATTATTATTATTATTACTACTACTACTACTACTACTGACTTGTGGCATCACAGAGGTGGGCTTTGTCACTGGCAATACCAGTGTTGTGGAATGCCCTCCATGCTGAAACATGGGAGGTTCTATCAGTATCGGCATTCTGCCAGCTCTTGAAGGCACACCTGTTTGGTCATGCATCCCTCTGAATTATGCTTTATAGTGGGCTTATTCTGGCATATATTTTATGTTTTGATGTAATTGTTTTATTGTGTATGGATATTTTATAACTGATTAGAAGTCGTTTTAGAATGCAAGTGGTATATAAATCAATAATAGTAATTCCAGAAGAGAAAGGCAGAAAGAGAATGGATGTGATGAGAGGGGTTCTTAAGACTGCTTGTGGATTCTCAGAATAGCCTGTACAAAAGAAATGCTGAGAGCCAGTGTGGTGTAGTGGTTGAGAGCGGTGGACTCGTAATCTGGTGAACCGGGTTCGCGTCTCCACTCCTCCACATGCAGCTGCTGGGTGACCTTGGGCCAGTCACACTTCTTTGAAGTCTCTCAGCCCCACTCACCCCACAGAGTGTTTGTTGTGGGGGAGGAAGGGAAAGGAGAATGTTAGCCGCTTTGAGACTCCTTAAAGGGAGTGAAAGGCGGGATATCAAATCCAAACTCTTCTTCTTCTTCTTCTTCTTCTTCTTCTTCTTCTTCTTTCTGTTCTGTAGTTTGGCATGGGTCCATTCGTCGTCTTCATTCTTCTGACATTTCCTTATATATGTATTATTATTTGTTTAGCATTTGTTTAATGTATCTGCGCTCTTAAGGCGGGTGGCAAGAGTCAATGAAATACATCTATCAAATAATCCTGAAGTAGTCTAAGGAAATACTTTTCCTGATCCTTCCCATTCAGCTTTTTCTGATGTTATGCATGTTGCTCCATATTTCCTTTTGCTGATATCAGATTCAGCCAACACATGGGGTCTCCTGGAAAAACTACTCTTTCTCTGTGTGTGTGGTGCATTTAAATAAATAAAAAAGGAGGCCAGTTAGCCATTTGTTTTGATAGGGTAAATGCAGAGATGTTGACTTTACAATCAAAAGCATTATGACTCCAAACTTTCCAAACCCAAGTTGCGTGCTTCAGCCAACACCACCAACATGTGCTCTACATGATTAATAGTGTTTATAAAGTACATAAAAGAATTTTGGAAGAATATGATATAAGGACATTACTATGTGCATTTTTGGTGGGGGTTTTTTAAAACCCAACATGATAAATATACAGTTGGACTTTGCTTTCTTGACAACAGTTATTTATGAAAGAAGAAAAATCAGAAATAAATTAGGCAAGCCATGTGATTTTTCTCAAAATGAAAAAAAAATAATGCTAACAGTCCAATATCCAGATTTGTGCTGACCATTTTCTTAGCTTGACTGATGTTACTAATGTGGTTCTTCCCCACTCCTCCAAAATAAATAAATAAATAGCTGTTTCTCTCTTGAAGTTCTGCCATTAAACTGCATGGGGATAATTCTTACAAACATAAGAACAGACATGCTGAGTTAACCCAACCATATACATCACTCATCATTTTCCTTACAGACAGTAGACCAAGAAGGGAGCACAAGCAGAGAGTGATGGGTGTCCTTCTGATGTTTATAGCAGGGAATAGATGGCAGAGGGAGAGATTGGTCTGCAATCTATTATTAGCTCAGCTAATCTCTATTAGCTCAGCCAAGAGACCAGCAACTGTTGGTTTCAAGTGAATAGGGATACATGGTTATTAATAAATGTTTCTATGCTTTCTAAACATTCTTCATTGGGAAACCATCTAAGGCAATTACAAACCATCGTAGTACTAATAAACATTATTTACACTTACAAAAATTTACAGCAGAAATGATCAAACATACACAAAATTCAAACAAAGTTTCCTTTATTACAATCATTAAATGTTTACTCACATGTTAAGTCTTGTCAGGATTTAGCATAGAAACAGTGAAGAATATGAAGCAGGCAGTGCAGTGATACTTATAAGTTACTTTCTACATACTTAAGTACTTAAGATACTGCTTGCTTTCTGGAGAGAGCAAACAACTTGCCCATCCCCATCAACAGGTAAACGAAAAAGAGGTCAGGAGGAAATAGTAGGGCTTAAAATCCTTTGTCTAAGTTCCCCAGGAAATGACATCACAGAGGTGACCTCTCTAGGAATTCAGCTCTCTGTGAGGCTTAACCCCTTTATACAGTAAACATAATTGTCATTTTGGCTGCAGATTTTCTCCAAAAAATGAGACCCAGCTGAAAAGTGTCAGCCTGTTAAACATGGCAAGCTGAGGATGGGGGAGCGGAGCACCATGTGGGCTGACAGGATGAATCTAGGACTGTGGCCATGGGAGAAGTGGGTCCCTCTTGGAGTGTAAAGCTGGAAGCCCCAGCATCATAGGCTCAGATTGTATATATGTGTAAATAGACCATATATTTGATAAAGACACCACAGTTTCCACTGTGTTTCCATTTGCAAAGGAAACACAAACCCCAGGTAAGTGCCTGGACTTCTGGGATCTTGCACTGCTTTGGAGATTGGGGTGGCACATAACAATATAAGAAGAAGAAGAATATAACAATAACATAACATAACATAACATAATAATAATAATAATAATAATAATAATAATAATATATTATATATTTTAATATATATAATAATATAATGTAACATATAGTTATATATTATATAATATATGTTGCTTGATTAGGCATTGAAGAGTGCAATGTAAATGTTAGAAATAATTTTCAGAAAAAATAATCTCATATCATTAGCTTGAAGCTCTCATATGAACCATTTATTATGAATTTGGTCAATATACATATACATGTGTATGTTGATCAGTTTATCCTGTCACTTTCGGTGAGTCTGAAATTTGCAAGTAATAGACACATCCTTTGGTCATTAGTCTTGAGTTAGCTGCCCTTTTGCTGATTTTTAAAAGCCCCAAGGGAAGAAGAGAAACATTTATAAAGGCATTCTAATCTTTAACATAAGCTGAGCCTTTGATTGTAAAATGTATCATTTGGTCATCTTGGTTTTTAAAATGCAGTCCCATTCCCTAAATCCATCACTTGTTGCAGCTGTTCTGTCTTTAGCACCTGTAAGTTTACCCCTGAGAGGCTCCAGACCTAACGAAAATATTTTATAGGCATCAGGTCCAATGGCTGGATGTTCAAGCATTGTTTTTTCAAATAAATGTACTCCCCACCAGATTAGTCAACCAGAGAGACACAGTGGTACCAAAAGACCCATGAACTAAAGAATCTGAATTGAAACAGTCTGGACTCCTTTGACGAAAATAAGCAAATAAAATAAAATAATTACTAAACCATTTAATGGGTGTCTAATTCCTGCTTTAAACTCCAGTGCTCTTTTAAACACAACCTTCAGTTACTCTGTCATGAAGAAGAAAGAGATTTTTGTTAAGTACGCGCAACACCTGAGTGTTCAAAAGTGCATTCTTATGTGTTTACATCCTGCAGTAAATCCTACTAAATTCAATGGATCTTACTCCAAGAAAAGCATATTTAGCATTGCAGCCTCATGGTTCAATCCTATTTAAATTTATTTGAAAGAAAGTCTAGGGATGGGTGGATTGGCCAAAATAAAGGTGTTATTAATTGCACAAATGTAAGTCATATGCAGAGTGTGTTATTGTGTATCTATCAGGAAGGGTGAGGGAAAGCAGCACTGGGAATACAGGTGAGAGACAGTGGGATTATAACCCTTTCCCTCCTCTACAACTACTATTTGCCTCAGGAGCTAAGCCTCCATTGGCATTGCAAACAAACAAAAAAGCAGTGCTATTTTTCTAAAAGAGAGGTGCCAGAACTCACCATGAGTTCTCTTATAATGGCAGTGGCGGACACCTGAGAGGTGCTGTAACTGAGTTCCAGTGAGTTCCGGCTGGGAAAAAAAGCCCTGCAAAAAAGCACATGTTCATGCAATTAACATCACATTTCATTTGGCCCAAAGATTAAGCATTCAGGAAATTTATTATACCTGTGCCCAACAATTGGTACAGTCCTATGCATTTAGCTGGCTCTGCAGAACTAACTTTTGTGGCTGGAGGATTCCATAATTAAGGTGCAAGCAATTTGCTGCACAATCCTCAGAGGTCAGTCCCATTGACTTCACTAGAATGTAGCTCCAGGTAAGTGGGGACAACATTGCAGCCTCAAAGCCCTGTTGATTTCACTGAGAAAATCAAGCTTAATGTCCACCAAATCATGTTTTTAATTTTCTGTGTCCCTGAAAAAAGCTGGGATTTTGGATACTATCTTGGATCAAAAAGCTGTCATTTGCTTTTCCATGCTTATTTTTATTCTGATTCGAGATTACTCTGGTCTTGTACACATATTATATTGTAGAACAGTTGATGTGTATATGGGAAAGAACAGGATCACGCCTGCAGCCCCCTTCCCCGGCCAACGCATTCAGTATAACACATTCACTGTGCCTAAGTGCATCTAATTTGACTGTACAGATGTGCTCAGTCTTTTCATTTCTTGGAATTAAACTGCTCTTCCTCTATGAGGAAGAGATTGCATCTTTTTAGTAGAATTATTTATAGACCCCCTCCCCCCTATCGCCAGTTCCATGGAAAACTTCACATTTCATGTGCAAAAATCTCCATATTGCAGCCTTGCAGTTCTAAAAGACACAGGGTTGTAGAAACACCTCCCCCCCCAAAATGCTCTGAAGTAGACCCATTGAAATAAATGGAATTAAGCTAGTTGATTTCAGTGGGTCGCCTCCTGAGTATGACAATTGGATCCAATCAACTAGTATTTACCGTTTTCCCTCTTTATTGCCTCTTTTGCATTGGTGTCCTTGTAGGGCTGCTTTAAAATCCTCTATAGAGATCATTGGATGACTTCATTATGTAACATAAAATCACCATCCATCATTTTCCTCTAAAGGGGAAGTATAGGGAGCTGACGACATTATTAAGCAATATATTATCAGAGACACCATAAGGATTTTTCGGAATCTCTTATAGAGGCCTCTAAAACAAGCTGCTTGCAACACCTGGTGCTTATTTATTTCCTGGACCAAATCTCAAACCATTGTTAGAGTTCCCAGTGGAAGATATTTATGGTTTTAGGTTTTCGAGCAGGCAAAGCCTTCTTTAAGAAGAGGGGCTATGTGTAATGGATAGAAAGTGAGAAGATTCTAGATTAATAAATCCCCTCTTTATCCGAACAGATCTGAGCAGATTAATGGCTTTGGTTGCTTCTAAGCTATTATTGTGCACAGTTAATTACATGTGAGCAGCAACCACTCACCGTAGCCTCAGATAGTGGAAGAAGCTGTACATTAATACACATTCGAAATTGAAAGGTACCTGTGTATTCATTGTCAGGGAGCAGCTGGGATCCTCCATTCATCAGCAAGACCCATGGGGAAGAACATCTGCAAAATACACATCTGGGAACTCATCTGTCTCATGCCTTCACTCTCCATGTGTTATGTCAAAGCTCCTCAACCAGTGCATTCAACCTCAGCTGCTGGTTGTGGACTCTCCAGCATATTCAGCTGTACCACTTGTGTGTTCAGATTCCCATCCGGCAATTTAGTCATTGCCGTTCTCCATTAATGGAGGCAAGAGGGTTGTCCAGGATTCTAGAGGCCAATGACACATGGTGCTGAATGCTTCATTGATGGAGACACACATCTTTCCCCAACCTTCAACAGCAAGATCGGAACAGTAGTGTGCAGGAAGGGACGTTAACACTTCCTCACCCAAAGAAATATCCCACCCCCTCCCCAAGCACCCAGTGGCATCAGTGATCTGCCTCACCTCCAAACCTGCAGTTTGCCAAAGGTAGACTCACCTTTAAATGCAGACCAGGTCAAATTTCTCCTCCATCTCTTGGGCTCTTGTTGAAAACCCTGAGGTGGAAATAGCACATAAGATGTGGCATGTGTTTTTTCCCTCTTTCCGCCTTAACAGCACCTTCTTCACACTATTTTCTCTCACCACGAAGGTGCCTTTGAACCTTCATTCTAAGCTTATTCCCCCCTCATTCTAAACTGCGGGAGTTTTAAAAGCATAATTCAGAATTGATGGTATTAATTTCTCTTTGTGGGAGAATCCTATGGGACTGAAACAAAGCAACACGAGTCAGTTATCTTCCCATGTTGTGATTTTTGGTAACTGTAGACATTGTTTAAGAATCAGCTATTCCTGTTTCTTCACATAACATAGCTTGGAATAACTCCAACAGTATACATTCAAACCATGTCCATCACATTATATTTAGCTGGAAGTCCCCCTATTTCATATCTCTGACTGCTTATTACTTTTGCTTTTGACAATTGCATGGTGAGCAAAAAGTACCTGAGAACATGATGGAAGGCACGAACTACTTTAAGAACCCAAAATCCTGTGGTTTAACACCAGGATATATTTGCCTTGTCAAAAGAGCAAAAAATTCAAATGAATTAAAATCTGTATTGGCATGTAAGTTATTGTTCTCTGAGTGCTGAGGTGAGTAATGGGGCAGACTAAGCCAACTAGGTTGATGTGGCCATACACTTTTGAAAGTGTCACAGGACTTCTTTTATGTGTGGTGAGTGAACACATATAGATATGGCTACCAGTGGTGGGTGAAATCTCATCACTCAGTTTAGGATTGCTGCACCTTCTTACATTCTTAAGAGAACCCTGTGTGTACTCCAAGTCCCAGCCAGCATGGCCAATGGTCAGGGATGATGGGAACTGCAGTCCAAAGCATCTAAGAAAAACCTTCTGGATCATGGCAGTGGCTCATCTCCTGCAGTTTCCAGCAATTGGTAAGGCACCAGGTTGGGGAAAGGTGATGTAATAATAATAATAATAATAATAATAATAATAATAATAATTTATTATTTATACCCCGCCCATCTGGCTGAGTTTCCCCAGCCACTCTGGGCGGCTTCCAATCAAGTGTTAAAAACAATACAGCATTAAATATTAAAAACTTCCCTAAACAGGGCTGCCTTCAGATGTCTTCTAAAGAGAAGATAGCTGCTTATTTCCTTGACATCTGATGGAAGGGCATTCCACAGGGCGGGCGCCACTACCAAGAAGGCCCTCTGTCTGGTTCCCTGTAACCTCACTTCTTGCAATGAGGGAACCGCCAGAAGGCCCTCGGTGCTGGATCTCAGTGTCCGGGCTGAACGACGCTCTTTGTCCCGACCTTCAGATGAATGTGTGGAGGTCAGTGCAATCGATCTCCCTCCCTTCCCCTTCACACATTCAAAGAATGCCTGAAAGGGGTTCTTCTCTCCTCCTAATCCACCTACAGGTTTTCTTTGTGGCTTTAAGCGCGGTAAGAATTGCAAAGGCCTTTGGCAACCGCGACGCATAAATTATTGCTCTAAAAAGAAAGCGATCTTTATGAGGGCTTCATCAGAAGCACATGTATCTAAGTATTAGGAATATATTATTCCACAGGACTTGGCGACGGCCCAGAAGCCGGACCGCTGCGCGCAACATTGGCCCGTGCAATTTGAGAAGCTGCTGAGCATCCCAAACAAGAGCAGCAACGATAAGAGATAGCAAGAAAGGTTGAAGAGCTGGTCATGTTTAGCTTAGGGGCCTGAAGGCTCCAGGGTGATGGTGATATAATGGTTCTCAGATCTTTGAAAGTAAGCTGCAAGCAGGATGGCAAACAACTGTTGGCTGAGTGGAATTTGACTGCATAGCCCATAAATGATGACTGAACTGTCAAACCAACCAAAATGTTTATTCGGCTTTACGCCCATCATAAAGCACAACACACAAAACAAATCAAATAAAACAGCGGTCTCGAACAAGCCACAAGTAATATAACACAATTCACAGCTCACAAGGACAAATATTGGCAAATCAAAACAGAAATTTAAGATTAAAGTTAAAAATTTGGGCACTACGCTAAATCAATTTCTGATGTCAATATCAAAAATTCTTATAAGTATCAATAATCAGTTAACATTCCATTCCGTCTCTTGTACGAGAGAACGGCTGTTAGGAATTTAGCAACCTGTAGAGTAATATAAGGATCTACATCTTGAAGAACCCAGGCAAGCTGTAGGTCTACTGGTTTGTCAGCCATAGGCTGGATTATGGAGTTTAGTATACTAGCGCGAGCTAAACTGTACATAGGGCAGATAAACATAACATGATGTAAAGATTCAGATGTTTTCATTTCACAAGCACACATTGAAGGGACTTGGCCCTTAGTGAATCTATGTCTCAGCACGTTTGTTGGGAAAACATTGAACCTGGCTCTAATGAAGGCATATCGGTGAGATGCGGCTATAAGCGATGTTAAGTAGGACGGAGCACGATAGATAGGGGTTATGCCGAGATTTAACGGGGAGCAGGCTCCACCACCAGCTAAGAAATTTTGGTATAGCTCCACATCATCCAGCCTTTGATTTATACACCTTTTGCCGCGTTTAGATCCAGTTTGAGCAATTCCGTGGGCGAGATCTCATAGGACAGCAATTTGGCATGGATTTTTCCTGACCACAAATTTGTAAAGTCATCCCGCCACATGCATTGAATGAGATAGTGGTTCGGTAGTTTATGCCATAGGGATATCCAATAAATCAAAACTCTCCTCCATAAAACTAACTCCACTGAGGGGATCTTCATTTCTAAGCGAATAGCCGCATTACTTACGCATGTTGGTAGTTTTAAAAGTCGGCGTAAGAATTGGCTTTGAAGCGACTCTAAAGGTGAAAGGTTTGCAAAGGCAGCCCATAAAGGTGCAGCATAGGCCATTGTGGCCATCACTTTGATGCTATACACTTTCAAGGCCGCAGGAATGAATAAGGCCCCCTCAGAGTAGAAAAACGGAGGAGGGAGTGTGATAGGGCTTTTGTCTTGTTTTGAAGATATTCAACGTGCTCTTTCCACCCTAGATTATATTGAAAATAAATTCCTAAATATTTAAATTTATGTACTTGTTCAATTTTCGTGCCCTCCAATTTCCATGAATATAATTTTCGACTCCTTGAAAATATCAGTACTTTGGACTTGGTGTGGTTGATAGACAGATGATTAGAATGGCAATATGATGCAAAAATCTTTAGTGCCCTCCTTAAACCCACTCTGGAGTAAGAGAGTAGTACCGCATCATCTGCGTAGAGAAGTAAAGGACAACGATAATCTGCTATACGGGGGGTGTGGATAAATTTTTGTGAGTCGATTAATGGGTTCCTCATATCACTGATAAATAAGTTAAAAAGAAGAGGCGCTAAAATACAACCCTGGCGTACACCCTTATTTACTGGCACTGGGTTAGTTAGGTCTCCAGCAGGGGATATTCTTACCCTGGCCACGGACCCGGCATGAAGTTGGGAGATAAGCCACAGGAGCCTTCTATCTATTCCCCAGCAGGCAAGTTTATCCCATAGTAATTGCCTCGGAATACTATCAAACGCAGCTTTCAAATCTATGAAGGCTGCGCAAAGTTGGCCCCGTCGAGGTGTCGAGTATTTCCGGGCTAAGTGATAAAGAATAATTGCCTGATCTGTTGTGGATCGGTTTAATCTAAATCCAGCTTGCTCATGCCCAATCAGGTCAGCCTCAGCTGACCACTTCATCAGCCTTGCCAGCAAAAACGGGCATATATTTTCCCAATGGACGATAGCAGACTGATATTCCGGTAATTCCCTGGGTCACCGGGAGAACCTTTTTTGTAGATAGGAATTATAATGGCCTCCTTCCACGTACCTGGTATTAAGCCCGTGGCATTTATTGCGTCAAACGTTTTAGCTAAAATCCCTGCCCACCATGCAGAATGTAGCTTTATAGCCTCAACAGGGACCAAATCTGGCCCAGGGGCCTTACCAGTTTTCAGCTCAGCTATCAATTCTAGGATTTCAGCAGGGTCGGTATTGTGCCAGACGGGAAGGGGATTAGAAGGTCTCCAGCGAGTGGCCGGAGCTTCTGCCACTGAGAAATATTTTCTCAGGAACTGCTCCCATGTAGGGGCCGGGATCACCGTTAAGGGGTATTTCGTGTTTCTTCCCTTTATTAAGGACCAAAATTTCCGGGAGTTATGAGATTTTGCGGTAGAAATTATAGTCTGCCAGCGATTTAAATGCCATTCCCGTTTGGCCGATTTCTGGGCCTGTTTGTATGCTTTTTTAGCCAGGGAATAAGATGGAGGTAAGGCCAGAGCGCCGGAAAGTGAACTGTCAAAGCTTTGGGATTAAATACCAGAGTCTTCAAACCATCAGAATATTTAAATCAATCTTCACGAGCCCAGTGCTGCACTGGCTAGGGCTGATGGGAGTTGTAGTCCAAAACATATGGAAGGCACTCTGGAAGGCTGGTGAAGCTTGGTTTAAACTATGTATCTTTTTGTATGTTCTTTCATATGTGGTGGACCTGTAAAAGGGTAAAAGATTATTGGGAAGTAATTGATAATGAATTGAAAAAAATGTTTAAAAGCACCTTTCCAAAACCAAAAACCAGAGTCCTTTTTGTTGGGGATAATTCAGATGGAAATTCCCAGGTGTCAAAAAAGGTTATTTATGTATGCCACTATGGCAGCCCGTGTTTTGTTAGCCCAAAAATGGAAAACGAACAAGGTCCCAGCCAAAGCAGAATGGCAACTTAAACTGATGGAATATGCACAGCTTGCCGATTTAACTTACAAAATAAGAGAACTAAGAAGAATATTCTTTTAAAGAAGATTGGAAAATGTTTATTGAATATATTGGGGGAATTGCATACAACTGAAAATGTTGGCAGCATTAAGATAAATTCAACAGTGTAAATAATCTTTGATGGAAGTAATGATGGAATACTGAATGGTTTAGTTTATATAAAATATGCAGGGATTTATGCTATGCAAAATGAACCATGGGGAGAGAAGATGGGAATTCATTGATATTTTAAGGTTGTTTAAATGAATATTCTAAATTGTAAAACAGAAAATTTTTAAATTAAACAAACGAACGATGTATTTTTTGTACAATATCCCTGGGAAAGGTGTTATATATTGGCATGTCCCATCACTCCAGTGGCATTTGTGGCATAGGAAGCTGCCTTCTACTAAGTAAGACCATTGGTCTATCTAGGTCAGTATTGTCTGCACTGATTGGCAGCAGCTCTCTGAGGTTTCAGACAAGTCTCTCTCCTAGCCCTACCTGGTTGTGTCCAGTCCAGGTAGCAACTGGCCATTCTTGCTGCTTAGAGCAGCTGCAATCTGTGTTTGTGGAGGGAACTTTCAAAACAGGCACTGGGAAGCTGTGGCCCTCCAGATGTTGCTGAACTACAACTCCCATCAGCAAGCATGACCAGTGGTCAGGGGGTGATGAGAACTGTAGTTGTAGCAACATCTGGAGGGCCAAAGGTTCCTCACACCTGTTTAAACTATTAAAGGCAGTCCTTGGGCCACCTTGGAAACATTTGTCATTTGGGAGTGCATTTTGGAGCGTGTGTTTTTAAAAAACTGCAAATTGAAATGGATGGTATGGATGGTGTTTTTCTTTTTTCCAGATAGGAAAAAGAAATTATCCAAAAGCAAGAAGGAAGTAAGGACATGAATGCTGTCTGTTGGTTGGAAGATGTTGAAGAAATCCCCTGTGGAAAAACAACAAAGAAAGGTACCAGGAAACAAAGTATTATTTTCATGTTCTGCCATTAGCTTGCCACCTGTTAGCTGTGATCATTACCCAGAGCTGAAAGGGGAAAGGCTAATCTCTTGCACATTTAGATCAACAAACTCAAACAAAACCTGCCTAATTATCCCATTGAACCTGTGTCAGTTTTTTAAATCCAGCTCCCTTTCCCAGCTTGGCTGCAAGCCAAGCCCAGCAAGCTGGTGTCCATAAGCCGCATGCTAATGACAATGTCCTTTCATTCCAGGAATGATATAATTGCCAAAAGCAGTTTACAGACTCATTATTTTTATGGTCATATTTCAGAGGAAGAGTCAAAGGTCAGTCTAGGGTTTGCTTGGGAGAGTATCGGATCTTGCCTATTGAGAGCATGCAGCAGCAGCACCACCACACCAGCTCCCAAAGAGCAAAGTGTTATCCCCGGGTTAGCCAGGATTCCCACTGTCACAGCAATGACAACCTAAGAATGATTCAGGTGGTCAGTTTTTACACAGCCCATTGCTAATCCGTACTTAAAGAAAATCCCCCTATGATGTGAAAACAAATAATTCATTTAGATGTTGAATTGAGCACAAGCATTTTGTCCAGATAAATTTGACATGCTTTATTTAGTACACTTTTATTCTGCTGTTCATCATAATAATGTTGTCACATTTTTTGCCAGTTTTTTGGGAGGTGGGGAGGGGGAAGTGCTGAATTTGTGTGAGTGTTCTTGCAAGTATGAATGAGATTGCCCTGCCCACATTCTGTTTCCACCCCACATTCAAACATATTTGTTCAGGAAGGGTATTTCATCACACACACACACACACACACACACACACACACACCAAGAATGTCCACATGGGTGGATTCCACAACTCCAAAGTATCATTTTTCACCAAATCATTTATATCGGTTTTTAACTGAAGCTAACCAAGGCAAGTTCTCATTTCATTGTTTCCTACTTTCCTAGGCAAAGGAGGTACAAGAAAGAAGAGGACGAGATCAAGTGGGTGTGAAAGGAAGATCAGAAAGGGGAACAAGCTGCTAGTTAAATGTAGGCAATGTGGAGCCCTCCTGAACTTGGTTGGACTACAACTCCCATCATCCCGGACCAACGGCCATACTGGCTGGAGCCAGTGGGAGTTGGAGTCCAGCTACATCTGGAGGGCACTATATCGGCCAGATGTGTACTAGGTCGTTGCAAAACCCGATAACCAGAATGCTGTGGTCATGATGGTGGTGATTGATTGTGACTCTTAGCAGTAGTGTTGTTTAGTTTTGAATGTGGCTTTCCTATTGCATTTCTTATATTGATTGCTTTTTTGCTGGGACTTGTAAACTGAGAGATTTCTGTTGAAAGATGAAGTAAATAAATAGATAGATTTGGGGTGTAAAATTCAGGACTGACAAAACACAGCACTGCAGAATTCTGTTCCCACAAGAAGCAGTGGTGGCCACCATTTTTGATGGTTTTGAAAGAGGATTGGACAAATTCATGGAGGGTAAGACTATCAGTGGCTACTAGCTGTGATATCTATACTCTGTTCTCCATGGTGAGGGGCAGCAATGCTCCTGAAATACCAGTAGCTGGAGACCACGGGAGGGGAGAGGGCTCTTGTGCTCAGGTCCTGCTTGTGGGCTTTGCCTAGGCATCTGGTTGGCCCCTGCAACAATATGATACTGTGATAGATCACCCTTTGGCCTCTTCTTGTGTTCTTACATTCTTACATTTCCATTTCAGACAGCAGAGATCAATGCTGAAGACCAAATATTCACTCTGTTTGGAGAATATTTGTCTTCTGGTTTTGCTTGGGAGAACTGGGGCAGGGGGTTGTTTTAACTCCAGGACTGCAGAAGTGGGCAAATGGTATCTGCTGTAAAACCATAGTTGAATTATAATAAAACAATACCTCAGTGGTATATTATATAATAAAATGAAAACAGCATATTAACTGAAACAGTAAAACTGTAATTAAACGCATACATCCCTTACAGTGCAAGCTTATAATGTCTACTCAGATGTAAGCCTCACTGACCTCAAGGGGACTTACTCCCAGGTAAGAATGGGTATAGGGTTGCAGCCTTAATGTCCCAAAGCATGTTGGCTAACTTTATAGATCCTCTGCCATCTGCAGTTAATTACTGTAGTTTTACTATTAGCAGGTCAATAAACTTTTGATCACCTCTTTATTCTTTTATTGGGTTCTGTGCCAGCTTATGTTTCAGTGTGAGGTTCAGTAACAAGTTTTTCCCTGAAATAGGGAAAATTAATAATTTTGAGGTGTTTGACATGTTTCAAGGGCAGGGATTATATGCTGCTTTGGGTGATGGAACTAATCATTTATTTATTTTTTTGCCAAGGGAATTCTGTAAAATGCCATGTGCGCTGACAACAATCGGATTAAAACACTATTAATAACCTCTGCAGTTCAAGCTTGTTCCTCAGTGACAGTTCAACAAGGCAAGCCTGTGGATATCAACTCACAGGTAAGCTCCACTGTGTTCAATGGGATTTATTCACAGGAAAGAGTGCATACCTCGGCCTAAGTGTACATAACTCTGGGCACAAGAGTTTCAACCTGCAAACAGAATTTTCTCAGATATTCAAGGGCCGGTATCCTGTTCTCACAGTGGCCAACCACATGCCCATGAGAAGCACACAAGCACATCCTGAACAGCAGTGCATTGTAGCTCTTGAACAGAAAAAGAGAAATATTACTGATGTTGACATTACGGTTTACATTTTACCTACAATTTACACTGGGTACCTACGGAATATCAGTTACTTGATTTTGGCAGCATATAAATAGTCTAAATATTACTCTGGAAGAATTGCTTCTTGTATTATTATTTTTAAGCAATTTAAAGAGGCATAATTCTGTTTCACTGTTGCTAATCGAAGGCTTTGTATTGCAATTCTTGTTGGTGTTGGATCAGAGCCTCGGTTTTTACTGTGTGCTGCACTCTCAGGACAATAAAGATTAGTGTGTTTAAATTGGTTAAGGCTAAAGAAACAAGTGAGGAAACCAAATCCTTGCCGCATCCATAGTAAAGATGAAATACACACACACACACACACACACACACACACACACACACACACACACACCGGTCCCCACTCAACAAAACAAAAGCTGTTTGCCCCCTCCCTCCTTCATATCTGAAACCCATTATTCTGTGAGTGTAAACCTAAATAATGATAATTAATTGTAAGTAAATAAGCTGGAACTCTCACCAAACTGTGTGTCTGTGTTTCAACTGAGATGTATCATTTGACTGAGGGCATTTTAATGTTCGGTGTCTGTTTCAATGAGGTCATCAGATGTGATGGAGGATAAGAAGCCTGGATGTTTTTAAAGTGGTGCATTGGAGGGATTTTTTTGCCTAATGTTGGGGGTTTCCCCCCCCTCACCAAAACAACTATTAAAAGTACAGGGTCCCTGTCTTATGTGATGTTTGCTAATCCTACGCATACCAGTTTGAACTGGTTTTATTATTTGTTTTATTTTATTTTAAATGTTTAGAATCCACCCTTCTTCTATAGCAAGGGTGGGAAATCTTTTCGAGCCCTTGTGGACAACTTTCTGGAGGCCACATATTGGAAGTGGGCAGGGGCAGCTGCAAAAGTGAGTGGACTTTCACCTTTTTACATTGCAGTCAGGATAAAAATCAAAGGATCTTACACACACAACATACCTCTCTCCATCCTCCTTTCAGGCACATCCGACAAGAAGCAATTCCTTGGAACAAGATGGAGATAGACTGAAATTGCAGAGTTTTGAAAAATTAAAAAACAAAGTGCGAGACTGGCTTCATTATTATCAAATAATGGAGGCATTTAAATTAGACAGGAAAATTGGCTTCCAGGTGGAAAAATCAAAATTAGAAACAGAATTGTTAGAACCCAATACTAAGAATTTGTCAAGAATGTATAACTTGCTGCTGAAATGGAATACTCAAGATGAAACGGTAAAATCGGCTATGATTAAATGGGCACAGGACGTAGGACATAACATTATGTTTGCTGACTGGGAACAGTTATGGACCACTGGTATGAAATTTACGGCATGTAATGCCTTAAGAGAGAATATTATGAAAATGATATACAGGTGGTACATAACCCCAGTCAAGCTTGCGAAAATCTATCACTTGCCCGATAACAAATGTTGGAAATGTAAAGAAACTGAAGGTACATTTTTCACCTTTGGTGGACGTGCCCAAAGATTAAGGTTTTCTGGGAAATGATATATAATGAATTAAAAAGGTATTTAAGTATACCTTCCCCAAGAAACCAGAGGCCTTTCTCCTGGGCATAGTGGGCCAAATGGTGTTAAAAAGGATAGAACTTTCTTTATGTATGCAACAACAGCAGCAAGAATACTCATCGCAAAGTATTGGAAGACACAAGAACTTCCCACGCTGGAGGAATGGCTGATGAAACTTATGGACTACATGGAATTGGCGGAAATGACTGGAAGAATCCGTGACCAGGAGAAGAGTCGATGGAGGAAGATTGGAAGAAATTCAAAGACTATCTTCAGAAACACTGCAAAATTAAGGAATGTTAGAGTGATGTTGGATTGAAAATAAGTGGTTTCCAGCTGTACAGGTTAAAGCTAAGGATAGATTAAGATTAAAGATTAAGATTAAAGATGTTTAAAGAAATGGAAATTTGATAATAAAAGGGAAAAATTTAAAGGTATATGACATTAAGAACAAGGATTATGTTTAAAAAAGTTGAAGCTATATAGTTTAATATTTCATTAAATTAAAGATTGGGTTTAAAAAAGTGGAAAAGAAACTGCTGGACAAATAATGTAGATTGGAATACAAAAGAGGGAGGTATGAGGAAGTCCAGAAAATAAGTAATTCAAAATTGGGAATGTAAAAGAGAGTTTGTTTTAAATTGTTATGTTGTGTGTTTCTATTGTTAAATTTTGTATTGTTTTTTTGTGTGTGTTGCTTTTTCTTTTTTCTTTGTTTAAAACTTTAATAAAAATTTAAAAAAAAAAAAAAGACAAGAAGCAATTCCTCCGGGGAAATTTTTTTGGATATTCTCCTGAACTGTAGGGAGGATTTCTCCTGGAGAACATTCAGTGAAATGGTCTGCCCAAGTTCACCAGCTGTGGGACCAGTCTCAATATTGTTTAATCTCATGTTAATATTGTTCAAGGAAGCAACAGAGGTGCCCCTTCACTCTTTCCGGTTCCCCTATATCAGCCATGGCTTCCTTCGTCCACCAATATGAACTGAAAATAAAGCTTAATCCAACAATACATGAGCCTGAATTTCTCAGAGGAGAATTTTCCAGGGGGAAATGTCTGAGAGTCTCTCCCTGTTTCATATCACCAGAATATCTGACAAAATTCCACCTGCCCCACCTTGAATGCTTCAAATAATGTGGAGAACTTTTGGAGGCCATTTTCATTCAACCCAGATCTAGAGATCAATGAACACAGTATTCACAGAAAGCTGGTGGCACCTTTTAATTTTACTACGTTTCCTTTCCGCTTTCCTCCCTTCCCTCTGAGCCCCCTCCCAAATGCTTATAAGATTGTTGTTGAGAGCTAAGTCATTTAGTTGCAACTACTTTCTGTTGCTTATGAGCGCTTTCAAATGGGAAGGGAGTCTTAATGTGATACCGGAAAGGGCATTAGATAAATAAACAGGTCTTTGGTTCTGACATTTCCTGGAAGCTTAAGATCATTAACTGAGGGGTCCCCACTCATCTTAATGCTTTGCCCATTAACAGGTACATTTGAGTCTTTCCTAGGGAATTCACCAGCCTCTTCTCATTCTCGGGGCGAATGGTTTGCGAGTGACATGCCGTATGGTGTGTGTTAACTGACTTACTCCCCAAGGGACACCGATATGCCCTTAATTAGGATGTTGGAAGCATCAAGTGAAGCCTTCTGAGATGGCATCAGGAAACGAGGTGAGGAACTGTGGCTGCTCGCCGCCTATTTGTTTATAGTATTTATTTATTTATTTTTAAGATTGCTCACCCCACCTTTCACCATAAGATCCCATAGCGGGTTACAGCAAGGGAAAATACTATTTTAAAAACAGATGAAACCATCGCAATTATAAAACAAGTAAAATCTCTCTAAATGGAACAGAAGCGTATAAATTTGGCAAAAGAAATAAAAAATCATTCCTTTCCTCCTAGTGAAAAGATAAAAGAAGAAAGAGTTTCCTCTGGGAAGTGTATCTGATCCTAGTCTATCCTAACTACAACCACGTAAATTAGGTAACGGTGAGCGATGGCGACTGGCCAAAAGTTACCCAGTGATGTTGTTTTGTTATTGCTGCTGCTGCTGCTGCTGCTGCTGTTGTTGTTGTTGTCCTCCTCATCCTCCTTCTTCCTCCCACGCTGGCATCCAGCCTTTCGTGGAGATTCCAGGGCTGCTCTCAATGTTAAAAACAGAATTAAAGCCTTAACCTAAAATCCATTATAAAAATAAAACAACCAGCAATACAGTGTGAATGGGGATTTTGAACCTGGGTATTCTCCATCCTACTCTAATAACATCCAGCTGTATCCAGTAAAGATCCAATGAATACTGGGGAAAGGACAAAATAAACTTTAGAATGGGCAACTGCAGCACCAGAATATTTATGTATTTGGCAATTCTAGCTCTAGATGTTTGGGGTGGGAGGTGGCTTCCGTGGACCCCCTTAATTTAGAAGACGTGGTTGGCATCTTAAGACTGCACCATCTCAGTCTCAGTTGAATGAGGAAACTGTTAGATGGATTTGTAGCTGGTTGACCATACCCAAAGAGTACTCATTAATGGTTCCTCGTTATCCTGGAATAAAATGACAAGTGGGGTGCCTCGGGGTTCTGTCCTGGGTCTGTTGTTGTTCAACGTCTTTATAAATGACTTGGATAAAGGAATTGAGGGGAAGCTCCTCAAATTTGCAGATGACACCAAACTGGGAGGGGTAGCTAATGCTGCAGAAGACAGAATCAGAATTCATAATGGCCTTAACAGATTGGAGAGTTGGGTGCAAGCTAACAAAATGAATTTCAATAGGGACAAATGTAAGGTTCTGCACTTAGGCAGGAAGAACCAGGTGCACAAATATAGCATGGGGAACACATGTAGCAGTACATGTGAAAAGGTGTCTTGGTGAACCACAAGTTTAACATGAGTCAACAGTATGATGCAGCAGCAAAAAAAGCTAATGCTATTCTAGGCTGCATCAACAGAAGTATAGTGTCCAGATCTAGGGAAGTAATAGTTCTACTGTATTCTGCCTTAGTCAGACCACAAATGGAATACTGTGTCCAGTTCTGGGCACCACAATTTAGGAAGGATGTTGACCAGCTGGAACGTGTGCAGAGGAGGGCAACCAAGATGATCTAGGGGCTGGAAACTAAGCCTTATGAGAAGCACTTGAAGGAGCTGGGTATGTTTAGCCTGGATTAGAGGAGACTCAGAGGAGATATGATAGCCATCTTCAAATATCTTAAGGGCTGTCACATGGAGGAGGGAGCATGGTTGTTTTCTCCTGCTCTGGAGGGTAGGACTTGAGGCAATGGTTTCAAGTTGTAGGGCCATCTTTAGCAGATGCAGCACCGGGGTGCAAATATCCACCCAGCACCCCCCAATTACCACGGATAATGTTGGGGTGGCCGTAGCTGCGCACTGCCAGCTATCCGGGGGGCCCACAACTCTCCCCCATGCTGCTGCAGGAGAGCAATCCCCGCAGAGGGTTGGGAGTGAAGTTGCACCCCTCCCAAGCCTCCCCAGGAGGAGAACGATCCCCACAGAGGCTTGGGAGGGAAGCTGCGTGCCTGCCAGCCTTATGGTTGGTGGGGCGCAGCTGGGGGGGTGTGCCGGGAAAGGGGAGGCCGCCAGCAAAACTGCGCAGCTCCCCACTTGCTGGGGCGTCCCTGAGAGGCTGGCACCCTGGCGCGACGCACCACTAAGCCCTATGGGAAAGACGGCTCTGTCAAGTTGCAAGAAAAGAGATTCCAACTAAACATTCTGAAAAACTTTCTTACAGTAAGAGCTGTTCAGCAGTGGAACAGACTCCCACAAGAGGGGTTGGACTCTCCTTCCTTGGAGGTTTTTAGAAAGAGGTTGGATGGCCATCTGTCATGGATGTTTAAGCTGAGATTCCTGCATTCTATGATTCTATGATCACTTAGAGTAGCTGTCAGGGGGCTTTGGGTGGGGGAGATAGCAGTCATTGTCCCCCCATGGTGATCTGGGGGCAGAACTCACATGCAGACACACAAACACTGAGCCAAATTTCTTCCTCTGAGAATTTTCAGCTCAGCCTTAACAACTTTTGCACACTTTATGGCAACTTGTTTGGCTTCTCTAGAGAATTACAATAACGAAAAGTGTGAGCAGATCAAACACTTTCATATCCTTTATATTTCCCTTCAAGCCAAGTGCCCCTATATATTTACAGTGCTTCAATTGTGGTGTTTGGTCATGGGGAAACTGCTTGCTTGGTTTTATGGGGTTCTCATGAGAAAAAAATAGGATAATGAGGTGTTCTGGATATTAATGTGACACCATTTTATTGGGCCAACTGAAGTATTATGAAACACAAGGATTAAGGACACAAATCTGCATGCAGAGTCAATGATACACTTGAAAATGATCCTTTATAGTTCAGATCTTCAACTTTATGGCCTGACTCGCAAATGCATCTTTCTGGAGGCCCTTTGGACAAATTCTTTCTAATAATCATGATACAGGTACATTATTAAACATCTGCCTATATTAAGCTAAGGATTTGTTCAAACTACAGAAGGTGTTTGGTAACCCTTTCAATACTTTATGGGTTATTCTTACGGTTTAGCACATTACTATAAATAATGACGGTGATTATGATGCTTATTCGGGGCAACACAAAGCAGATGTTGGCAGCCAGGAAAAAATGATTGGATGTGTAATGACAAAGGTCTCATGAAAGAAATTGGATTTGTCAGTAGAAGTCAGTGAGGCAGCACAAGAGAGGTGATGGTGCTCACTTGCATTCCAAATTGCAGGAGCTTTTCATAGCAGCCACACTGGTGCCACCCCTTCCCTTAAAAGCCATTACAGCAGCATAATGTGGTGATGCATTATTGTTCTGGTATGGGCTACTGGGGGAAAAGCAGTGGTCCCATTTTTTCAAGACTGTCAGTGCATCATTAGGTAAAATCGTTCTGGGGCCTTGTGGGAAATGTGGGTTATTCAAGCCAGCTCCGGTGCTGGTAGTGAGTTTCACCCCCTGCCCCCAAGATCCCCTCACTCCAAATTTGGCCCCTGTTGCATTCCTGACTTCCAGCCCCATCAGCTTACCATGCGAATCTGCTGGCATTTCTGAATTTACAGTTCAGAAAGTCGCATTTCTTCCCCAGCCACTGCAGACTATCTCTCTCCAAGCCTTCTTCAGTCGCAGCTGCACATCTCCCCCTGGGCAAAGTGTGTAGCCCCCTCCTCCCCCTTGATGGCTGCTCAGTGGACACAGAGGAATGTCCCTTCTGCTATGCTTACACACCTTGCTGGCTGCCTCAGTGGTTTTGAAGCTCATAACTCTCCATCTGGCAGCTCTGTCTCTAACCTGGGGAAAAAACCCTTAACCCTGTCATGCCTCTGTTTTCCCTTAGAACAACTCAGAAAGCTCTTAAAATTTGAGTGCTGTACTAAGATGATGAACATGAGGTATTCAATTCCCAGTGAATTCAATTGGACTTACTTCTGAAGATACATGTCTAGTATTTTGCTTATTGGCCTTTGAAAAACCATATACAGAATACTATACAAGGAATACTAAGAGCAATGCGGCTGCTGCAAAAGAGAATGCTATGCAGGGGTGCCAACTTGAATAAAATATGGGGGGCAGGTTAGCCCCACCACACATAATCAATCACATGAAGTAGTGCATGCACATCATTTGAATGGCAGTGGCCCCTAGGAGTTGGCTGCTATGATGCCATGTACAGTAGAACCTCAGTTGTGAATGCTTAGGAAGTCAAATGTTTCAGCTTTCGAA